GGCCCCCTTCCTCCTGTGTGTTGGCGCTGGCTAGCGGGTCACCAACCTAGATGGCTACGGTTACACCCTTGCGTCGGAGTAGACCAAGCCCATTGCTTGGGACACCTTTCCCGGCCTGTTTTCAGTAGGAAGCTAGCGCAGCAACTGCGCCACTTCCTAAGTGCTATCTAATCTTCAGCCCAATCCCCGCGCGGGTCCATTCCATAGGTCAGCGCTTTCTTGGAAGTCTAACGAACACACGCCCAAGCCCATCACCCCCACGCCCGCGCCTTCCCTAGCGAATGCGCCGGAGATGTCACACTGGCCGAGGGCTTTGCCATTGGCAGCAGCATCAACCAGCAGCACCCTGCTAGCCGCGTGTGACTGTGAGACTGTTGGCGAGGAGGTCCCCGCCCGTAAGGGTCAGCGAACGCCCCCCGCGGTCCTACATAAGGCGCCACGCCTTCCCCCCTCTGGTATACTGCTGAGAGCTTGCCCCATCTTGGTTCGAGCGTCACGCGAAAAGCGTGACACGCCACGCGAAAAGCGTGGCGCTTTTGCTGCATGTACCCTACAGACTTACTAGAGACAAGGCGCCACGCTTTTCGCGTGACGCTCAAGAAAGGGGCCGCGGATGAAGGCCCCACCTTCAGATCATGAGGACCTTCGGGCCCTCAGCTGAAGGCTTTCCGATCATGAGAGAGGACCCCCAAGGGAGAGCCCTCACCCTGAGAGGGCTCGCCGATGAAGTCCTTCCGATCGTGAGGACCTTCATCAAAGGAGAGCCCTCAATCTGAATAGAGGACACTCAGCTGAAGCCCTTCCGATCATGAGGACCTTCAAGGGAGCGCCCTCAATCTGAATAGAGGGCACTCAGCTGAAGTCTTTTCGATCATGAGGACCCTCCGTCAAGGGAGAACCCTCACTCTGGAAGGGCCCTCAGATGAAGCTCTTCCGATCATGAGAGAGGACCTTCAAGGGAGAACCCTCACTCTGAATAGAAGACACTCAGATGACCCTCAAGGGAGGGCCCACCCTCACTCTGAGAGGGCCCCCAGATGAAGCTCCTGCTTCCGATCATGAGCGAGGACCTTCAAGGGAGAACCCTCACTCTGAGAGGGCCCTCAGATGAAGCTCCTCCGAGCATGAGAGAGGACCTTCAAGGGAGAGCCCTCACTCTGAGAGGGCTCGCATATGAAGCTCTTCCGATCATGAGGACCTTCAAGGGAGAGCCCTCAATCTGAATAGGGGACACTCAGCCGAAGTCTTTCCGATCATGATGACCCTCCAGGGAGAGCCCTCACGCTGAGAGGGCTCGCAGATGAAGCCCCTCCGATGGATCACGAGGACCCTCAAAGGAGAGCCCTCAAGCTGAATAGAGGGCACTCAGCTGAAGTCTTTCCGATCATGAGGACCCTCAAGGGAGAACCCTCACTCTGAGGGGGCTCGCAGATGAAGTCCTTCCGATCATGAGGACCTTCAAGGGAGAGCCCTCAATCTGAATAGAGGGCACTCAGCTGAAGTCTTTCCGATTATGAGGATCCTCAAGGGAGAACCCTCACTCTGAAAGGGCCCTCCGATGAAGCTCTTCCGATCATGAGAGAGGACCTTCAAGGGAGAACCCTCACTCTGAATAGAAGACACTCAGGCGACCCTCAAGGGAGAGCCCACCCCCACCCTGAGAGGGCCCTTAGGTGAAGCTCCTCCGATCATGAGCGAGGACCTTCAAGGGAGAGCCCTCACTCTGAGAGGGCCCTCAGATGAAGCTCTTCCGAGCATGAGAGAGGACCTTCAAGGGAGAGCCCTCACTCTGAGAGGGCTCGCCGGTGAAGCTCTTCCGATCGTGAGGATCTTCAAGGGAGAGCCCTCAATCTGAATAGAGGGCACTCAGCTGAAGTCTTTCCGATCATGAGGACCCTCAAGGGAGAGCCCTCACTCTGAGAGGGCTCGCAGATGAAATCCTTCCGATCATGAGGACCCTCAAGGGAGAGCCCTCAATCTGAATAGAGGGCACTCAGCTGAAGTCTTTCCGATCATGAGGACCCTCAGGGGAGAACCCTCAAGGGAGAGTCCTTTGCTTAGCTTTTTCCGGCTCTCTCTCTCTCGCTCTCTGTCTCTCTGTCAATGCGCCCGACTGTTCCTCAACGCCCTCCCTCTCATCACCCTCTCTGCCCCATCTCTCTCGCCCTCTGTCTCTCAGTCGGCGCGCCTCGTCTCTCGCTCTCTCTCTTTCTAACACCGGAGCAAGCTAAGACACTACCGACAACAGAGCGACCCTCTGCCTGTCTTTATGATTCTGCGCGTCTTTTTGCATTCTGCGTGTCTTTTTGCGTGCTAGCATACTGCCAAAGCTGTCCACGCACGCGCGACATGTGTGGCCCTTATCTTATGACGCGCCTGACTTCGGTCAGCGTCGCGCTTAGTTACACACCGGCAAAGAGGCGCCTGGCCTGCATTGGATTCCCATGCGTCACACTAGAGAACGCACGCGGAAAAGACATCCGACCCCGATGAGATTCCCACGCGTCACGCTAGAGCGCACATCGTCAAAAAGCACCCAATCCCCCCGAGGTTCCCACGCGTCACGCTAGAGCACGCATGGCGAAAAAACACCCAATCCCCCCGGGGTTCATATGCGTCACGCTAGAGGCGTGACGCGTGACGATCCGCGGGGGGCGTTCGCTGCCTCTTACGGTCCCCGCCCTGCTTTTGCAAGATGTAAACGCCAGCCAAGACCCTGCCGGGAGTTTCTCTCCGAGTGTTTGTTTCCGAGAGTTCAGATCTCAGGCTCCCCGCCAGTGAGTCGATGGAAACACCCCCCGCGAGATGCCACGGACGTCCCCCCCGCATATGCATAACTATCCACAAACACTCACACCAAGCAGCAGCGGGGTGGCTGACAGCTGCGCGCATGCGATACTTGACGACCGAACTGGCCCACATACTCAAGGAAGCAAGCCTCGGGCTGTTCGCTTATATGTGCGCAGCTGCGTCGGCGCCTCTTCCCCGTCATTGGTTGAACCTATTCCACGCGCCTACTCGTTAGCCCCTAGGTGTATCAGATGGACCCAGCAAGGCTAGAAGACTCGCCTGCCACCTTACTGCTGGGGGGAAGTTCTTTGCATGTGGCTAGTAGTGTGCTCCCCGTGTCTATTACACAGACACGCGCGCACAGGCATAAGACAAGGCCGACGCGCCGAGAGATCTGCACAATTTGTGACAGGAGTCTGCATCCCTCTCCGCAATCGCGCCGCCTTCACGCCTGTCCACTTCACGCGGCGTCTGCTGAGCCTCTGAAAGCAGAGCCGACAGAACCAACACACGACAAGCCCGGCCACTGCACTGAGAGCACCACAAGCCAACGAGGGCCCAGCCTGCGACGCAGCCGCCCGACAAATTTCCAAACAAATGCACAACCTAAAAAACTGCACAGCCTTGGAGAGAGAAACAGAAAGACCACACAAAGCAGACACAGAAGGCGCGGAACCTTATGCGCCCCCGCTGCAAATTGTCGCGAGCTTGCTCCTGGCGGTCCATTTTCATGCCTTCAATAGAGAAAACATGGAAGACCAAAAAAACTGGAGAATCTTCGCGAAATGTTTGCGGAAAGTTTGCAAGTTCTGACCATGTTGGAACCCCGTGCGTTTATCTTTTCAGAAAGATTCCGCGAAGATTTTTCCAAGATTTCGCGAACTTTTCCCCAAGATTTTTTTCCTTAAGTGACAGAAGAGACGGGAAGCCGCTGGAGGTGTTCAAGCGTGGAAAGATGGCCGCCGCCGGTTCATGGTGACACTGCTCCCCCAACTGCGTTTCCCCTGTCCTCCGCCCCGGTGTCCTACGCTTCAGGGGGCTCACACAACCGCGCCACGCCTGCACCCGGGGCGGCGCCGGTGCCAGCGGCATGCGAGCGGTCCACAGCGAACCAGTGCCGAGGCTGCCACCACCGACGTAACACAGAACAAACGAAAAGCAGCGCCAGGCGCTTCGGCGCCTGGTTTGGCCTTTCAAGCAAAGAGACAACGAAGACCAGCCCCGGCAACTTTTCCCAAAGATTTCGCGCACGTCTTTCACATCGTCGCGGCGGTCTCCAACAAGCTGGGGGGCGTCAGTGATTAGCTATGCCTCACCTAGGCCATAGCCGTACTCCCATAAAAGCGAAGACGCGGCCGAGCGTATGCAGATGCCACCAAGTCCAGGAAAGGTAGGTGCTTCGGCGTCCCTTTGTTGGACGTTCGACATATTATCTCTCACCGTGCGGGCTTCTCCGAGGCAGTGCGGGAGATTATCCGGGACAAAATGAGGGGCAACAACCACGAGAAGCCAGACGCAGTGTTTTCAGATTTTAAAAACTGATATACAGAAACACTAATCATGATTAAATTTAACGAGCCTCATCGTATAATTATCGAATTTCAAAGAAAGAGGGCGCACGTAGCAGCTTTTTCCGAAAGTCATCGAGTGACTTCGTTCTGCAACGTCATAGCCCCACACAGTGCAGCAGCTTGCTGATCATGCGGCTGCTTCAGTATTTTTTGCATTGTAATGACCTCGCGGGGAGTAAGTGTTTTCTGTAGTGGTAGAGAGTAGCACTACCGCCATTGCTCTCATTGAGAAGCGTCTGCGCTTGAACTTGTTCCGCACATTCTTGGCATCGTCAGTCTCTCACGTCGCTGGCCGTTTTTCTTATATGAGTAGTCGCTCCTTTTTCATATGCTTTCGCTTTCATTTTTTAGAACCACGCACAGGCCTTCTCCTCACGGGTCTCCTCTCGCGCTCAATTCAAACGATGCCTCTCTCCGATGGATAGTGTATGTCGGGCACGCGGATAGAGTAGTGAGATGGGAAACAAAAAAACGCGGCATCATCGTCGTCGCGCTGGAGCATCCTTCATACCTCTGAAGAGAAGCGCCGCGGGGTCTTACGGTTTTCTTTGCTCTCCATTTCTTGCGCGTGGCAGTTCCCTCAGTGTCCCTCTCGCCTTACTGAATGAGAAACAGCAAGGAAAGCCAACGGCTTCGCCCGTCTAGTCGTGTCTGTGTTCCTGGAGTATATGAGGCTAATTCGGAGCATGTGAACAATCGCGCAACGCTTTGCGCGATTCATCATCTTGCTAGCTAATCAAAATAAGCGGGCCATTAGTGCTAATTTAATGCGTTACTTCTTGACTGTCTTCACGTAAGTAGTTACTGATTAATGACGACGATCATGCTCCCTCATTTTTCAACTTTTTGCGTTTTGTTTGGGAGTTCCTGGCTCATTATTGAGTCACAAAAAATGTTATAGAATAGTTATTGAATAATTATTGAATATTAATCATTCTTAATCTTAAAAGTGCAATATTATAAGTTATGGCAATTATTCAATTACTATTGAGTCGTGCTCAATGGTGACTCACTAATCCCCGAGCTATTGCTTCAAAACAACACATCTACGCCGTCTAGGAAAGATTCCAACGACATTACTTCACACGCCAAACGTCCTGAGCATTATTTAGCAAGCATAGAAGAAAACAGCCAACTAATTCGTCTACGAGCGATCTTCAGCCTGCGCCCTCAACCATTAACAAGACCCAGACTGCAAAAACTATTACACCTAGAGAAAAAAGGATGATAAAACTTTTCGCATCTTTATTAGATCTTCCCGCTGATTGTCCCTAGTGCGAAAACTTGGCACAAGTTGAACAAGAATTTGCATAGGAGTCCGCCACACTATTTTGCTGCTCTACAGGGGTATGCTCGGCGGATCCATCAGGATGCATGTCGCAAGCCTTGGCTATACCAATGTCCCTCACCCCCGTGGCCCTGGGAAAAGTTTTCCGTAAATGAATCACAACAAGCATCGCAAAAGGCGGAAACCGCAAAGGCCAGCAAATAAGTTGGAACAAGCGGGCGGCAAAAAAAGAGTGGGCTAATACATAGAAGCAAGCGACAAATAAAAGCAGCAAAATGGACAAGCCAAGACCCTGCCCAAGATCGCCGAAGGCTCGCGCGTTTGTATAATCATGCGCGAGGCAAGTGGGTGCCCTCACTCTTTTCCCTTTCATTCGCGCCCGCGTGGAACCACCGGCGCGAGCGTTGCAGCATGGGAGCCGCGGGCGCTGGGTCTTTCTTCTGCTCAAAGAGACAACGCCAGCCACCCTATTCCTCTAGAATGCCGCCCGAATTTTACTAATTTGACCCATCGCAACAATCTCGGAAGACCCTCCGACGCTGCTAGCTACACCCCTGAGAAACCCCCAAGAGAGACCCACCCACCACACCACCAAAGCCGCGATCGATAAGCAAGCCCAGCACCCTCAGCTGCAGCCGCCACAAGCTTACCTCTGTGCCCAGACTCTGCAAAACCCGACGACACAGAAGAGCAGAACCACAACACACGGCACATGCTCGGCGGATCTTTCACGAAGTTGCGCCCTTCGGTCGGGGGCAAGGCTCTAACTCGAGCGCTAACAATTCTGCTAATTACTTTAGGAAAGGCCCACGGAATGCGCCGGGGGATGCTCGCTCGACAGGTTGCTGCCTCGTCACTCTAGTCCGGTTTTGGGGCTTCTCGAGAACCCTCTACGGATTCCTCCAAGTGTGCACTTTGCTTCAACGCTCTAATTTGCGAGCCCCCTCATAGCGCGAAAACGCGCAGGGCTTTGGGGTGCAAAATTAGAGTGCCGAATTAGAGCGCCGCACTAGAGGAATTCTAGAGGGCTTCTGAGAACCCCCCAAAACAATTAGAGTGACGAACCGGCACGATTTCTAGAGCAAAAAAGTGAGGCCCATCGGCGAGAAATCCCGCCGAATTAGAGTGCTTAGATAGGGAGAGCGCTAAGTAAAGCGGCACGGTTTTTAGCGTGCTAAACTGTTAGAGTGATTTTTTCAAAAACCCACCCGAGCATGGCACCAGCCTGACGGCTGCCGCGCCAACCGCCGACCTTTTGCGCGGGGACCTACCCCCCGACACGGCGGCAAGGCCACAAAGGGCCGACTGCACCCTGCGGCCACACAGCTAACCCCACCACACAAGACACACCTCGACCACCGACCACAAGAAACCGACTAGCTTAAAGGAGACAGCTTGCGAGTTGCGACCTCTTCAAAATTAGAGGAATTTTAGCGGAAAACCAGGCGCGAAAGGTGCCCGGGCGTGTCCTCCTGATTCTGCAACGGCGTGGGCAAGACTGTGGTAGAAGCGGGAGGCACGCAGCGGATAACAAAATAAGAGAGCCTTTGTTTCAACAAGAATACCCTGGGGCGGCACGACAGAAGCCGAACCGCTTCACCAGCAGCTTCTTGCCCAGGTGGAAGCGCAGCAGCCGCAAAATCCAGGACAAGCGGCACCCCCCCCAGCTCCAGTGCTGCAAATTGTTATCGGTCAGCCGAGCCCCAAGACCACGCTGCCGGCCCCATGTCCGCAGCTGTTTGCCAGCGACACACACCTGCGCAGCCTAGTCAACACCACCACACACAGCCCAAGCTGGCTCTTTCTTAGTTGCGTCGGGCCTTTTCGCTTTTTCCGTCTCAGCTGCATCCCATGGAGGGGAAAAGCCAGCGAAAGAGTGCGAGCGCCACTGCTTTGAAGGAGAAAGCCCAAGGCCTCTGGCCCGTCCTCGCCTTCAGTTTTGTCTTACACTTTTCGCGGCCTGTCCCCTGACGGTGCCACGACTTGCCACCGCCTCCCTTCTTGTTTTTGCAGGTTCAAGGGGAAAAGCCCCCGCGCTGCTGCTTCTTCATGGCTGGCTTTGCCGCGCAGCTGCTAGTCTTCACCCCTTCCATGTGTCCTCGAGATGGTCCACTATGCTTCACCTCGGTGCCAGTCAGTCACCCCCCCAACAGAAGAAGCCCCAAAGCCTCCCCTTTGACTCTCCCCGGCGGTGTCTCACTCTATTCGCCTCACCCACCTAATCGATTTAGACACACCCCGCCCGCGCCTCCTTTCTTCAATGGCGGGAGGCCGAAGTCCTTCAGCCCTTCCCGCTTTTGCCCTACTTTTTTCATCTCAGTCCCACGCAATTCGCTATCCCTTTGCCACTCCTCCAAAGAGACGAGGCGCGCCCCCCACTGCCCTCGCCATTTTTGTGGCCCCACTCTTTTCACCTTCCTCGGCTTGTCCGCTACTTTGGAGAACACCGCGCCCGACGAGCGCCGACGGGCGGCGGAAAATCTTGGCGGAAAGCTGCCGACGCTCACGCGCGCGGCCCTTGTCCTTGTCTCATTAACACGAAGCCCACAAGAGGCCCGAAAGCAAAACCCGCACACCAACCGACCCACACACGACCAAGCCGAAGCAAGCAGCCCAGTGCGCCGAGAGCATCACAAGCCGGCGAACCAGTCTGCGGCGCAGCCACCCGCTAAATTCCCAAACGAATGCACAACGCCAAAGGCCTCCCAAGTCTGGAGAGAGAGACAGAGAAACCACAAAAACGAAAGACAGAAAGCGCGGAGCCTGGTGCGGTTCCGTTGCAAATTGTTGCGAGCTTGTCTCTGGCGATCCATGCGCGTCCATGTCTCCTCTCATCGAAAAAAAACAGAAGGCGGAAGCCCCAGAACCTTCGCGGAATGTCTGCGGCCAGTTTACAAGTTTTAGATGGCCAACGCCGTCCAGCTTTGCCACTGCTTCCCCGCCTGCGTTTCCCCTATCCTCCGACAGAACTCTATACTCCTCGAGGAGCTTGCACAAGTATGCCGCAGGTGCAGTTCCAGGCGGCGCCGATGCCAATGGTGTCCGGGCGGTCCGCACCCACCCGGCGACAGGGCTGCTTACAACCGAGAAACACAACACAAACACAGAGCGCCCGAGGCCACGCCAGCGCGCTTCTCGTCCTTACAAACACAGAGACAACGACGACCAGCCCAGGCAACACTTCGCGAAGATTTCAAGCCCGTCTTTCGCGTCACCCTGCGCTCCAGATCATTCTCAGTGCCGCTTGTTTCACCAAAGGCGGGGCGAGGGTCTCTTGCCTCTTCTTTCCATCCCTTCCCAAGTTTTTTCGCCTCTGTCCACCACGGTGCATGCTCCCCCTCCATCTCATTTCTTCAAGGGGAGAGGGTTCAGCCCCTTCCATTCTCCTTGTTTTTGTCCAGCTTTTTCGTCTATCTCAGACCCCTAGCGAACCACACCGATGAGGGTAACAGCGGCGGCCATGTCAGAACTCTGTGCGCCACTCACTGCCTCCCTGGGAGTGGCGGGATTCTCACGGTCGCGCGCGAAGACGCAAGACCGAAGGCCGAGCAGCCGAGGCACGCCGGCAAAAAATAAGGGCCCCCCGCAGTAGGCCCTTTTTGGCCAGCAAGGCCCTACAGTAAGCTTCAGCGTCACGAGATGAGGCGACGACAGCGACCAAGCGAGCCCACCACTAGCTCAACCCGTAACGAATTGGGCAAAGGTGAGACGACACGCAGCCACGCGGGGAGCAAGTTGGGAAAAAAAGCCCAGCGCCCTCCAAAGTGGACAGCGGTGAAACCCAACCGGCCGGCAGACCACTGACGAGGCGAACGGCCGCCCGCTCTAACAGATGGATCTCAGCACAAATATAAAGCCCAAAGAGACACAGGGCATAGATACATTATAGCTGAGCAATTTCTAAGGTTTCACAGCTCGCATGGCATGGAGTGCATGGATCGCATGGAGCTAAAGGGGGAGCTTCTTGCACCCCTTAAAGCTCTGCGCCCCATGCTACTCCATGCGCCATGCGTGCTACAAACTACTCTGGTATAAGAATAACAACGCGCGGCGACCTTATGATCAGAGTTCTGTGCACCACTGCCCCCCGCCAAGTCCCGCGCGCGAAGACGCAAGACCGAAGGCCGACCAGCCGAAGCAAACCGTCAAAAAAGGGGCTCCTCGCGGTGGGCCCTTCCTAGCCGGCAGGGCGGCCCCAAGGTAGACCTCGGTGCCACGAGATGACGAAGCCGACCGGGCCGTGCCAAATGGGATGCCAAGTGCGAGGCCGCCGGGGGCTCGCGGGAGCCCGAGGGAGCCAAGATGGGGGAGAGCGACCCCGGAACAGGGCGACCTACACTGACAGCCCAAAAGGGGGGAGGGCAATCGCCCTGCGCGCCTGCACTGGCGGCAGCCGGGGCCGCCTCTCTCAATCGTCACCATCGTGGCAGCCTGTACTGAAGGCAACTATCATCATCCTGGCGGCCTACACTGACAGGCTTACTCATCTCCACCATCGACTCTGACAGCCTGGACGGACGGCCTCAGCTACTCAGTCACCAATCGTCATCAATCACCATCAAGCATCATCAAGCATCATCAATCATCATCAATCAGCATCAATCAGCATCAATCATCATCAATCATCATCAATCATCATCAATCATCATCAAGCATCATCAAGCATCATCAAGCATCATCAAGCATCATCAAGCATCATCAAGCATCATCAAGCATCGTCAAGCATCATCAAGCATCATTAAGCATCATCAAGCATCATCAAGCATCATCAATCATCATCAATCAGCATCAATCAGCATCAATCATCATCAATCGTCATCAATCGTCATCAATCATCGCCAATCATCATCAATCATCATCAATCATACTCAATCGCCACCAATCATCAGCCGGCGTCAATCATCAACCATCAATCACCATCATCACCACCACCATCATCACCATCATCACCACCACCACCATAATCCTCATCATAAGCACCCATCATCATCCTGACGGCCCCGGGCACGGCGTTATTTAAGCTGCGCCCTGCCGTCTTGACGGCGTACCCTCAAGCAACAACAAGAAGACGAAGAGTAGACGACGACGCTGGTGCTGATGATGATGATAGATGACGATGATGATGATGCAACCAAGCCCACCGATCGGGTGGGGCGGGGTGCCATCCCATCCCTGCAACCGTTTTACCTAAGAGGGTTGCCCTCTTTAAGATAAAAGGCTGCCCCTACTCGACCCCGCAGAGAGAGGCCAGACCCGCGCCCGCCACCTCTCCAGGGGACCCCAAGGAGGCGAGGGGAGCCCGTTTCGCTTGCTCCTACCCTCCTGCACTGCATCCCCCTTCGTCAGGGGGTCTCCCCTTAAGAGGCCCCTTCGTTTCAGCCTTTTTCTTTGCTGCTCTGTTCCCTTCGTGAGACGAAGAGCAGAAGAAAGAAGAGGAAGAAGAAATAAGACAACTAAGGAAGGAAGGCAGTGACGGGGAGAACTGGAACCACGAGAAGGAACAAGAAGCGCCGGGAGGAAACGCCGCTGGCCGCGCGTCCGCGCGCGCCATCGCAAGCCCCAAAAAGTGGCTTTGTTTTCAAAATCGTCAAAGATAAGACTGGACGCGGCGGCAACTACGTCGCTGCAACCAGCAAAAACGAGACGGCACCCCGCACCACCCGATCGGCTGGCTTACATCATCACCACCACCACCAGAACCCTGGCGGCCTGCACTCGCGGCCCCATCTCAATCACCAGCCCCTGCGCGGCCTGCAGTGGCGGCCTAGACAGGAAAACACTTCACACCATCCTGGCGGCCTGTCGCTGTTCTGACGGCCTTGCCAACCCATCATAACCCAGACGGCCTGCCCTGGCGGCCTCATCTCAATCACCGCCGCCACTCTCTGCGGTGCGCGGCCTGCACTGACGGCCTAGACAGGAAGACCCCCCATGCCATAAGGCCTCTACATGCGCTCGCCTATCCCCAAAAGAGGACCACAAGCCAGGCACACGCAAGGGAGGCAACCCTCTCCCCCGAAAGTTCATGAAAGAATGCGGCCCGGGTTGCGAGGAGCCGCGCCTACCCTGCCCGAAGGCAAGGCCGCGGGCCACGGTAACCGCGTGGGAAGGCGGTGACACCCGAAGGCAACTTTACTCAGACGGAACCCAGCTGCTGAGCTCTCCCCAAGCTAAGATTTGCACTGTTTCCCGCGAGACAAGATTTGCCGACGGACTGCTACCAAACCAAGTGAGAGACTAGCTCACCGTAGCGAACCCCGGACCCCCGGCCTCATCTTAGGCGCAGCGACGACGGCACCCCCGGTGTAAGACAAAGAGCGACGAAGAACCAAAGAACTCGGCGCTCTCCAAAATGGAGAGCGGTCGTGAAACAAATCCAACCGGCCGACAGACTGACGGAGCGAACGCCCACCCGCTCTAGCAAATCTCACGAGCATAAAGCGCAAGCGCATGAATTACGCTGCCCCGCCTCGGTGTGTGTCATTTCTTGAACAAAGAGAACAAGCATCAAGCAAAAGGCGCAGGCCCTTGGACTCTTCCCGGCTACTAACTTTGTGTCTGTCCCCCTTGTTTCGTCTGCTGTGCTTACTTTGGTAGCCTGGGCCTGATCGCATGGCGCTAAGCCAAACAAGACTGACACTGTTCAACGCCCACCAAAATGCCCACAAGGCTCACCACGCAGCGCCCACGAGGTCAGGTGCGACAGGCTTGACCAGGTTAAAAATATAGCGCGAACAGCTTGGTCTTTTTCATAAGACCGAGCGAAGATCTATCAGCAGCCCACACATTATCGACTTGGCCGACTCAGCTCACTGAGCTGCCCAGCGGTTTCGCCTCTCGCTGGGCTTCTGTTTTTGCGTGCGCTTTTCTCGCTCGCATTCTTGGCCGCGCTACTGCAGTAGCCAGGCTCTTCACCCCTCAGACAATTCTGCGAGCGGCGCGCCCTAGATCCTAGCCAACTGAGACCGAAAGCCTCAGCAGCGTCCCCCTGCCGGTCGCAAGGCTTGGAGACTCACTTTGGTAGAATTTTGCGGATCGGGTAGAGACTTACAACCCCGGGCCGCCCGGGACGCCGCTCTCTGTCATCAGAAATTTTTGCAGATTTTGCATTTTTTACAAAATTTCTAGCCAAATTGTGCCAAGTTTTCGGGTATCGAGTCAATCACCCCATCCGTATGCTTTTCCCACCCGACAGGGCTCACAGCCTGCTGGCTGCGTTCGCCTTCTTCTCCTGGTTGTGTCGTAATGAATGAAGACGCGGCCTGGCCGCGATACAAAGCGCCTGCGCCACTTTGAAACAACAAACGCACAAGACGGTCATAAACGCCCGCCACTCCGCAATGCTCACAGCAAGAACTGTTAGAATGGGACGAACTGGCTAAAACTAAAAACGTTCGCGCATTTGCATTTTACTAAGTAAAATCCAAACCCATTGAACAAGTTTCAAAATCATAGCCCTGCCTCAGGGCTTTCATCTGAGTCTTTCACCTTCTTACTGCTTCTGCTACTCTCCGCCTGCAACTGTACTACTGATTAGATGGCACTCGTGACGAGGTCAGCCGTAAAAGAACTACCACTGCTCCCATCCTCACTCGCCGCAGTCTGGACCAAATGGGGCGCCTGCGCTTTCATATCTTGCTGGAGAGCCGTTTCCATCTTTGAAAGGCCCATCACCGTTGCTGCATCGTGCTACTTAGAAGAGTGAGAGTCTATTGGCTTGCCTCGCTCCAAAGAATCTAGGCGATGGAGATCCACCTTACTGTATGGATCACGAAAGAACACAGCTAGAAGGACTGACTGACCACGCTGTTGCTAGGTTGTTCTCCCTTCTGTATTTCAGTCGGTGCGGCAGCGTAACCCCTGCTTACTCATGACGCCTAAAAGTAGTTTCTATTGTTCTTCTCCCGCCAAGCTTCTTCTACGTTCTACAGTATGAAGATAAGAAAAGGACACGCAAGTAGTCGAGGAAGCAGTACGTAGGTAGGTGCTTTTATTGAGAGTGAGGATTTGGACTACCATGAACGACGAAGAACCTCACTCAACAACAGTAAAAAGAGAGATCAGCGCCAGCGCCATAACTTGACCTACTTTGGCTGTTCCTCGTTCTCCTGAATTGAAGTCATTCAGCGCCCCATCGATGAGACTGGCATGGATGCGACGAGAGTCAGCCACCCCCGTAGGAAACAAAAGCACAGCAGTTTTCTGCGCCACTGTTTGCGCGCCCTCCGCAATCAAGTCTCGGACCTTTGGTAGGAATTTAGAGTCATAGAAGACTAAGACTACTAAATAGCCGAAGACAATCCCAACAGAATAAATTATGGCAATCCAAACTCAGAACGGGAAGAACCTACGCAGCTATCTTCTAGAATCAATGATCGAGGAGGCCTTAAGAAGAAGCCTGCAAGCCTCTTGCAGTTGCGTCGACGTGGCGCCACTCTTGCTCTTGGAGGAGGACCGTCGAAGCAGCCACAAAACCGGACGCATCATAGGTGCCGCGCTATTGCCACCGTTTTGGGCCACGTCCTCGCACAACTTCTCTTAGAGCAGCTTGGCGAAGCTTGTATGTAGTTAAATCAATTTACAAGCGCGAAGCGCGTGCTTCAAATCAAGTCACAAGCCCAAGCACAAGACAACGATAGACGCCGCACGCCTTCCCCTCATCAAAGCGAACTCAATGCGAGTCATCGACGTGGGAGAGGGGGCCCGCTGGCAAATAACATGAGACCAAGCGCGTACCCCATCGACCATGAAGAGAAGAGCAGAGTTCACGGCGCAAATTTTCTTAAGATCGATAGGAATAACGCATCTACCTCAGCAAGCCTTAACTTTGAATCTCGATCGGAATCCTCATAGTTAGACCGAGCGAGAAGACCACTCCGAGGCCATTTCTTGCGCTATACATAGACGGCAGCGGCTTCACCACTGGTCTCGTACTTTTGGAGGACTTTGACAGCGCAAGAAGTCGCTCATACTCGTCCAAGATGTGCGACCACTGCACGGGGCCAGCCTTGCTCTGGATGATATCAGTGTACTCCTCTGATGATTAGCGGAGCCCCTATTAGTCGCACTACCTAGTTGTCTGTACGTATCTGACATCACCACACAAATGCCCAGAAAGCGGGCCCATCAGGGGCCCGCTGCGCTGGGCATCGGTTAACAGCTAGAAGACAGGTCACTAGGTAAAGACACAGAAAGACAAGAATGAAACGAAAAAAGTCGCCAGACCTACTCGCCAAGGCTTGAGAGGCTGGCTCCCACTGTGGCGAAGTTAGAAGCCTGGCTACTGCTATGGCCACTGCATTGGCCAACTTGCTGACTGGATAGCCAACAGACCGAAGTCAGGACCGACCGGCCTCGGCGAGCTCAGAAGCTGTGGCCAGCTGGCTTAGAGGCCATCCGTGGCGAGGTAGCTCAGAAGCCAGGGCCAGCTAGCTTGGAAGCCATGGCCAGCCCGCTTGGAAGCAGTGACGAGCCTGCCCGGAAGTCATGGCCAGCTAGCCTGAGAGCCATGGCGAGCCACCTTAGTCGTAGAGAGAAACCGGGGCCAGCTAGCTTGGAAGCCATGGCCAGCCAGCTTGCTGGAAGGAGTGGCGAGCTAGCTCAGAAGCCCCACCCAGCTAGCTTCGAAGCCCTGGCCAGTTATCCCGGAAGCCATGGCGAGCGACCTCAGAAGCCGCTACCAGCTAGCTTAGACCTTCGAAGCCCTGGCCAGCTAGCTTACACAGCTAGCCCAGAAGCGCTGGGCAGCTAGCTACGAAGCCTCAGCCAGTTCACTCCGATTCTGAAGCCTTGGCCACCTTGCTAGCTTTGAAGCCTTGGCGGCCTACTTGCTAGCTTTCTGGGGGGCCAAACCATGAACTTGGGCGCCATGGCTGACTAGCTCAGAAACCGTCGCCAGCTTGTTCGCCCCGAAGCCTTGGCCAGCTAGCTGAGAAGAAGCCATGGCCAGATAGCTTAAAAGCTACGGCCAGTCAGCTTGGGAGCCATGGGGGGAGGGCTCCAAAGCCATGGCCATGTAGCTTGGAAGCCATGGCCAGCCAGCTCTCTCAGAAGCTACCTACGGGCAGCGAGCTCCGAAGCCATAGGCGGCTCCCTAGTAGGTAGCCCAGGCAGAGGCCACAGGCTGGCCAGCTGCAGTTCTATCTGTCATAGCTGTCGCAGCTTCTGCGCTAGCCGCTTCCTTAATAAGGGAGGGCCCTTAAGGAGGGGTCCACATTAATAGCCAATCTCATTAAGAAGAGGGCCCTTGAGGAAGCTCCTCAAGGGTGGCACGCCTTTACTTGGGGAGCTTCCTTAGGGAGCTGTCCCCAAGGAGTTGCTTGAAAAGAGATCGTAGAACTTGCTTAAGCTTAACTGTATGAGTGTGGTCAGTGTACTTATGAATCTGACCCCCCTAGAGTAGTATAATTAGCTACTTTCCCTCTTTAGTGTTCGTGGGGTAACAGTCCTGCGAGATGAATATCGCAGACGTCTGCTGTTGTAGTGCTTCTACTTCTGTTACCCCTCCGGAATTCACGTAGGGGGTAGAAGAGGAGCGATGGAGCCGCCATCCTTCGCGCCCTTTTGTTCCCTTTGAGAGCAGGTAGCCAAAAATCGCCACGCTGTGCGTGGGGTGGTCGTCTCTAGCAGTAGCAGTAGTAGAGTGCCCAGCCATGGGGCTGGGTTATAAGAGAAGTCAGCAGCTAAGTTCTTGCCTTGGTTCTTGCCTTAAGGTAGCGCGTGAAAATCTAGGACCTGCGCCTCCGGCGTGTACGATGTGAGCCAGTTCACACTGTTGTAGCGAAAGAAAGATTAGACGAGAATGCCCCATCGCTCTCCTATGGACGGACAAGCCACAAGGCTGCAGAGAAAAACTGCGCTCCTTCGTGCGTTCGATGAAATTCTAACTCCTACAGCGTTCGAAGTATTTAATAAATATTTATTTTCGAGCGGGTTCCTGGCGAATACTTTCGGGCAGTTGGGTTCGGGAATGCAATGGCCCTCAAGATTTGAATCTGGGAAAGGTTCGCCATATTTGAAAAAAGCAGACTTTTTTATTTTGCAAGAAAGTAGGTAGAGTTTTTTTCAAATGTGGCGACTTTTGCGCGAAAAGTTTGAGCCAGCCTTACTCCCAGTGTGGAAGTGTTCGCAGCTATTTCTACTGCTTACCCTTATAGTCATAGGAAGGGCGCGGGGGATCTTCCTCTTATCGCAGCTCCTGAAGGGCCCAAAGCATTATACTCAGCCTGTAGGCGTGGCGCCTGGATGGGTGAGGCTTCTAGATGGGGCCTGCTCCTATCAAAAGCCAAAAAATCCGAGCAGCTAGACTGCCCCCCCAAAGCCATAATAATGCTGCGCAGACCATAGCTAAGAAAAAAAGGAGCAATCAAGGGGATGGCGAAAAACTGAAATGCCCGAGTATCCCAGAGCCAGAAGGCAAGCTTCTAAGAGTGCGACGCAGCTGCTCGGCTATTTCAGCTAGCTACTCGCATAATTCAAGACTACGATTACATATGCCCGAGATATTTGCAGGCTTCTCCTTCTCACTAGTCCCATCATAAACATAGGCACCCACTGCGAGGTTTTTTACGCACGCACTCTCGCCGAGGCCGAGCCGCCTTGTCACCGAGTCCCACGCTTTCCTGAGATGCCCCTTCTCCAATTTGCACAGGTCGCTGATTAGAGCGCAGAGCAGTCACGCAGCTGCGCGCGTACTCCCCTGGAGACATTTGCTCAGACCGGTCCAAAGGTGACGAAGATGAGCGACGCCTTTACTTCATCTCCAAATCCTAGGGCTACCTAAGAAAGAAGCCAGGAGAGGAAATGCTTCATGTTGTAAAATTGAACTAGAGTAGTTAAACACCAGCTGAGCCTTAATCGGAGCGCAGTCTTCTCCTTCGGGTTGGCCGTGGAGAGCATCTGCAGCGACTCCAAATTCTTAGAAGTTATCACAAGAAGCGACGGTCTTCACTTTGTCTCATTAAGGAGGCGAAGATTGATCAAAACAGTTTCTACGTTGATGCGTCCGCGCTCGAGGGGCTCAAGACTGACAACAGCTCAAGATGGTCGATTCAATTCAAGGCACTCTACTCAGACGAAATGCCCAGCATTGGACGAAAGACGAAGGGCATGGGAACAAAAAAAGGCAAAAATTAGCGAGCTAGAAGTAGGGGCGTTTTTAGTCCTTGTCCTAGGGCATCTTGACTTGCTTCGCAGTTACATGGAGCTCTTGCGAGAAAAGTAAACAAGTGCTACACACGACTATACTACTGCACTGCTACTTACTCACAGAGGGAGCGCATCTACATCTACTTATACGCTTTCCATTGAATCGGGAGAGTCAGAGAGCCAGAGAGCGCGTAGTGTCCTAAGTTCATCCTGAGCACAACCACAAGAACTGGAACCCTTCCCACAAGCCGACACTTCTTGGAGAAAAACTGCAGACCCACGCAGGTTAGGCGACTTGATGTAGTTGCTCATCTTGCTGCCCTTGTCGTTTTCCATCTCTACCTTCGAGCCATCATCTCCCAGGTTGGGCGACGTGACCTGCTGGCCAATTCCGCGAAAAATCCTAGAACCACGCAAGTTGGGCGAGTTCGTCTTGGCGCTGTCTTCCTCGCTGCTCGTGATGCTTGTCGACGAGATAGAATTAGAAGAAAAAGGCGGAAGTAGTGGGCTCTGTCGTGAATGTAGTGGAGCTCTCGCTTATAATATCAATCTATCAGCTTCAGCCACTATATCGCCCGCTGTTAATATTGTTAAAGTGGTCGCGGTTGTGGTATCACTCAGTAACTGTAGCAGTATAGTGTCTCACCATATTGATTAGTCTGCACGCCCCTGGGCCATGCCTCGTCTTGTTGAGCTATATTCTAGAAGCTGAAACTCTTCCCAAAATATTTCCTAACGTGATGCGAATTCTTACTGTCGGTTCCTACTTGGTAGAGATAGACGCTCCCCATTAGAGCAGCCGCGCCTTATGATCTGATACACAACTACGAAGCACCTTTTTGAATCAAGAGAAGAAAGCCGCTCATAATTTCAGCCGTTTCCGCTTGACCGTCAATGGCCAAAGACTGTTTCTGAAGTGCGGGCGCATCATGCTGAGCATCCTGCTGTAGACCAAGGACGAACACACGCGGCGGCCCCTGCACCTGCTGAACCCAAAAGAGGGCTGCTGAACCAAAAGCGGCAGAACCACGCTGGATATTCAGCACTTGTTTTGACGGCGCGGCTTTTCTGTGAAGATGCGCTCTGCTGGTGGTTCTTTTTACCTAGTGCATATTGTTGGCGATTTCTAGACCCACTGGCGCTGGGAGCGACAAGATGGGGACACTTTAAGCCAAGCAACAAGCTCAAAGCCCAACAATACATAGAGCTATCCCCATCTTTCAGCGGCTCTAGTCGACAACTGGGTGAGTGAGTAAGTGAATGCGTCTAGCATGAGGAGAGGCATTGCAAGATGTTATTTATCATTAAGTACCGCGCCACTTCTAAGAGCAGAACCGTGGCAAGCCGCTTGTTTGCGGGTCGCTTGCTTGGCTTCAAATTCAAGACGCTGACGCGCGTGCGCCCTGGTCCTCTTGACCTATATTGCGTTGGTGTGGAGGGTGGTCTATAATGTCATAAGTAGCACTAATGGTCGATCTATAGAAATAATAGTTGTCAAAACAAATTAGATGTAAGTAGCGTAGTCATGGTGGTCGAGGTCGATTTAATAGTAATGGTAGTCGACTTAGAATCAACGCAAGCACTGCGATGCAAGGCGCCAGGCGACGGCGCCCGCCCCCCCTAGCGCAGGAGGGCACCGTGCAGCCCCGGGCCCCTTTTGAAGGCGTCTGCCAGGGGTGGAAGGCCTCAAAAGGGGCCCCCGGTGCCTTCTCCACTCCCTTCCAGCTACCTGGTTGGACCCTACAGGCCTCCGAGGTGGGTGGTTGGAAGGCTTCGAAAAGGGCCCAAGGAAGGGAGGGGGCGCCCCCGCTCCCTTCCAGCTGCCTGCCTGTGCCCTACATGCCTCCGATGACATTAGATGTGCTTCGTCGCCGCAGCAGTGCGCGCGCCGGCGCCAGGTGTGCGAGGAAGGCCTCCGACAGCAGCAAAAGGCGAGGGGCTGGACCCCCCGAGCCGTGCGGCCTGTGCCCTCCGGGCCCTTGGTCATCAGCTTGCCTGCTTTTGAGACCGTGGCCGCCATCGGCGGCTTTTTACCCCGGAGACCTCCAGCCCCCGAGGGTCAGCAACGGGCAAGAGGTCCCCGAAGAACCTGCAGAGAGGCGCAAGGAGACGCCCGCGCCCACTTTTGACGCCTTCCGCCACTAGAATGAACCCGCGAAAATCAGCGCGGAAAAGAGCACGCGAGCGCCACCACAGACCATACCAGGAGGGGGGGCACCGGGCAGCCCTCCAGAGTATAGCTTGATATGATAAAAAGCATCTGCTTCCCCTTCATATTCTTCTAAGACTCTCGCCCCCCCTTTGGGCCGTTACGCTGACCCCTATCAGCCTCAGGTCGCCCCCTTGCAATACCCTCCAAGACCCTCACGATACCCTTGCGACGTCCCCCGCCTTTTGATTTCGGCCCCCCTTTGTGACCCGGTTACAAGTCGGCTTATCCCTCGAAGCCTAAGCGCCCGGCAAGCTTCGAGCCGTAAGGCAAGCAACGACAAGCCTGCAGACCGTGGCTCCCCCTCTTCCAAGTTCTCTCCGAATTGTGAAGAGGGCCGACCTGATGCAACCGGGCCAAGCCTGCAACTTAAGCCCACGAGCTGCAACCCAAAAGGACAGCGCTGACCTCGATGGGACACCTGCGGGCTGTGGCAGGCTGCGTCTTGAATGATTAAGCAGACACCAGAGGAGCCCGCCCAAGCCTAGCCAAACTTGGAAGGACGACGGCGCCAAGCCTGAGGTCAGACCTCCGCCCTGCCCCTGTGTGGATTTCACGCCGTGCCAAGCACTAGACCTCTACTAACCCACACAGGCCAAGCACTCGCGTCCGCGCTGCTGCTACGTAACCACAACGCAAGCAACAAAGACCCGCCAACCAAGGGGGCCCGCTTGCTTCAGATTCAATAGAAAAACGAGCCCACGCCTCGCGGGTAAGCCCAATCCCGCCCCCCCCTGCTGCTTTCTTTGGGTGCATGGGCTTGGGTGCGTGGTGGTCTGCGTCGGTCGGCTTCTTCGCCGAATTTGGCTTGCACCGCTCACGGCCGCCGCTGGCCGCCTTGTTTGGGATTCCCGCTATATTCCAGAAAAGAGAGACCCAAGCCCACGCAGTCGAGTAGCTCGCTTCGCCTCCCTTTTGCGTGGATGATTGTGCAAAGCAACCAACGCAAAGCGGCCAGCGGCTTGAGGCCAGCCGAGCGAGGGCTTGGCTGTGGGTTTCGTGCGGTGTGTGGTCCAAATTAATTCAAGAAGCTGCGGCGCGGCGTCTCTTCATGATAGACTTGGCTTCTGCCTGCGCTCACCGCGCGCACTGGTTTGGCATGTTTGGGACACACAACCAAGGCGGGGGCCCTGGACAAGCGGCGAGCCGCCGCCTGGCTTCTTATCGTCTGGGCGGTGGAAGGTCACGCACAAAAGGCGGCTAAAAATTCAGAGAGACCGACCAAAGAAAGAGAAGCACCGGAGCCGCGACCGCAGGCCCATACAGTGCGCAAGTATCAAGCCGCCCCCGATGAACTGGAGCACACCCAAGCATAAACGCGCTCAAAATTGTCGAAGCTTTGCAGAAATAAGAACAAGAACCCAGATGAGGCGCAAGACACTTAAAAGGGTCACAGCCTGAAAGTAGAAACCGGCGCGCGCTTCCCTTTCTTGCACGCGTGGCCTTCGTGTTGTGTCTATCAGTCACCCGACTATGCCTCTGCGTGACCTCGCCAAAATGAATACACCCAAGCCACGGCGTGGCGCCCAGCCTCGCTCTGCCTCTGCAAAGGTTTCACACGCGTGCGCGTCTCTGATAGTGGTGCCGTGCGCGTTCTCTCTGATATTGTTTCCCCAGAAGATGCCACCACTAAGGGCCGCCGCAGATGATACGCAGGCCGACGATGAAGCATAATGTCATAAAGCAGCCCCCCAAAAGATGCCCCTGATTCGTATCAGGTTACTATTACTCTTCTACCTTATCTGCGCGCAAGGTGCGAGCCCGTCCGCTGTTCATCTGGGTGGAGTTGGTCTTGATGCTGTTCCTAGCCCTTCTCTTTCTTGCGACCATGTTGCTGCCCTTGGCCCTTTTCTTTCTTGCGACCATCAACCGGCCCGCACTCGGTGCCTTATTTTCATATGATGCCAGGCGTTTTCTATTTCATTGATACTCTCTCAGGGTGATGGCATTCACGCTGATGACATGATGGCGATGGGCTGGCGGACTCATGTCCCAGCACCTGAGGCGTGGTAGCAGTGGTAGGAGTAGTCGGAGTCGTAGGAGTAGTAGGAGTAGGCGCAGTAGGAGGAGTAGTAGGTGTAGCAATGTATGACACAAAAAAAGGCACTAGTCCTAGAAATTTGTAAATTTGATACTTAGATGCCACAACTAGGCGAGTTGCGGCAAGCTAGTGGCGCCTTCCAAGGGGCCGCAGCTCTTTGGAATGCCTCGCGCGTTTTTGGCGCCTGATATCGGTGCCCGCGCTCCTGCCTTTCTGTGCCGCCTGGTGGCACTGTGGCGCTTCCTGGAATACGCTGGCGGTGTCAAGCTCGCTGGTCACCCTGCTCGTGTGGGGATTCGCTGCGATGCAGATAAGCGGCGACGGCGTGGCCTCGTTAGGTACGCCTTGCGCGCAAGGTTCTACCCATGACGACCCCACGCCCTGGCGGGGCCAGGGCTCGCCTTGGCGCTGGCTGGACGGGGGTTCCGGCGTCGTCTGATGGGTTGCAAAAGGCGCCACTTCGTGACACCTTTTGCGACCCATTAGAGCTCTTCTCTTTTCGGTCAAAAGTGTCCCAATTCTAGTGCTGCTTGTGGTGGACCTAAATTGTTAGAGCGTTTTCTTCTAGTCCTGCTAGAAAAAAGTGGCCACTTTTTTAGGCTCGCGCGCATTAGAGTCTGGAGCTTTGCGGTGTCGAAGCAACAAGCTCTAACGCGGTTGAAAGTGGCACCTTTTCGCGCCATTTTCAAACCCTGCGTATCATCTGCGGCGGCCCTTAGTGGTGGCATCTTCTGGGGAAACAATATCAGAGAGAACGCGCACGGCACCACTATCAGAGACGCGCACGCGTGTGAAACCTTTGCACGCGCCATTTCTGGCGCTGATGCTGCACTGAAAAGGCAGACGGGCAGGCGACTCCTGCCCTTGCTGGGGGAAAGGCGTGGACAGGGTGAACGCTTGGCCGTCTTCCCCAGAGTGGCCACCGGTCGACCCCTCTAAAGAGCCACGCAGTTCCCCTCTAGGTGCATGCGCAATCGATGCGGCGTCTACGTATTTTACAAAAAATTAGGACTAATGCTTTTTTTTATTTCATACATGTGATCCATTGTGAAACCTGATCCAAATCCCCACTGAAATCCGAACTCTTCTGATCCAGTTCCGCAGCGTCAGCGTCCTACTTAGCTAGCTACTTAAGTAAGCACAAGAAGGAAGAACGACCAAGACAGAACAAGAACAACACAACAAGCACGACACAAGACAAGACCGACGCACCAAGGACTGCATGGAATCCATTCTCTTTCCTCATGCAGGTTTGGTATATGTTACCTCGGCGACATCACGTAAGACGTACTGAGAGGGTCTAAGATAGACTCAAGCTTAGGCCGGCTTAGCATGGTCTATTACAATACAACGCATAGTAGTAATAAATAGTAGTAGCAAAAGTAGTAGCGATAGTAGTAGCGATAGTAGTAGTAATAGTAGTAGTAATAGTAGTAGTAATAGTAGTAGTAATAGTAGTAGTCATAGTAGTAGTAGTAGTAGTATATTGCTGCATGGGATAAGCCGAAGCTTTAGAGGTAAAAACTAACCGGTTGCTTTTTTTAGTGCTTTGAGCGTCATAGTAGTAGTAATAGTAGTAGTAGCAGTAGGAATAGTAGGCACCCACAAGAGTAAAGATTTTTGAAGCGTAGTCTAGTCGTGTTAAGGTCCTAAAAAAAAGCACAAAAACCCACAGCAACAATCTAGAAAGAGGACGAGCACCCCGCAAAAAAGGAGGCCAAGAAGGACACAAAAGCGAGCGAAGGTCAGGCAGATTGAACCGAGAACCGAAGCCATTGAATCGAGAACCGAGCCCATCCATAGAGTCCGCCCACAGAGGGCAGCCCTATGCTTCTGCGCTCTGAATCGAGACCCGAGTCGATCCATGGAGTCCTCTCACAGAGGACAGCCCTGTACTTCTGCGCCCTGAATCGAGAACCGAGCTTATCCATGGAGTCCTCCCCTAGAAGACAGCCCTAGACTTCTGCGCCCTGAATCGAAAACCGAGCCCATCCATGGATCCCTCTCACAGAAGACAGCCCTACACTTCTGCCTCTGCGCTCTGAATCGAAAACCGAGCCCATCCGCGGAGTCCTCTCATAGAGGACAGCCCTATACTTCTGCGCTCTGAATCGAGAACCGAGTCCATCCGCCGAGTCCTCTCATAGAGGAAAGCCGTACACTTCTGCGCTCTGAATCGAGGGCCGACCCCAGCCGTGGAGCCCTCTCATAGAGGGCAGCCCTATACTTCGGCGCTCTGAATCGAGAACCGAGGCCACCCATGGAGTTTGCCCATTTCATAGAAGGGAGCCCTATAATATATTATGCGCTCTGAATCGAGAATCGAGTCCATCCGTGGGGCCCTGCTCTCATGAGGGCGCCCCGATATGCAAAGCATCAACATCACCAAAACCACCAAGGAAGCGAAGCGCCTCCTTCTCCAAAGTATGCACCCCAGAGGCTGTCTGCTTTTTTGTCCATGGAGAGTGGAAGGCTGCGAATGCTATAAATATACACCCAGCCACTCATCCGCACTGATTTCCCTCCAAGGTAGCGCGCAGCTTTTAAATTTGCCCCCACCATTTGAGACACTGCGACGGAGGGCCTGCCTCCTACGCTGAGCATGCCGAGAGATTTAGAAAAACCATCACAAAAATAGCAGAGCCATGAACGACGAGCCTAAAAAGCTCCGCAGGCTTCTACAGTAAAAACGACAGCGCCTTCACTTCTTCCGCACCGCCTTGGAGCTGGAGGCAGCGCCCGCCGTCGAACCTCGGAGAGACCGAAGCCGCGAGGAGTCCCTCCTGTAGTGTTTCCGCACGCAAAGAATAGAGCTGAGCACTATTTAAGAGACCGAAAAGCCCCACCACGCGCAGGCCCTTCGGTGCGTGGTTCTTGCCTGGTCAGACGCGTGGCAGCTTTCCACCATCCAAGCCATAACTAAGGGCCGGCTTCGTAGCCACTGACTAGAGAGAACTGACGCCGGGAGAACATAGGCGCCCCACCTGTGGGCCTGCTTTGCTACTCACTTACATGCCCCAGCCGCGTGCTCTTTCAAAAGGAGCAAAACAGAAAACCGAGGCGGCACCAGTTCCCACCCCATGACGTGTCTCGCTAGACACCACGACGCCGGTGGCTGATGCAACCGCTTCCAACTGCAGCCGCGTCAAGCTGGCGGAATCTCCTTGGCAAGCCCACCGAAGCGAGCGCGCCCAGGTTGAGCGGCTGCGGCACCTCACCCGAGTTGAGAAGATAGGCGACAAGCTCCGCGCGGGTGCCGACCGCTCTGGGGCGAGTGATAGGCATGCCCTTCAACAGCGCACGAAGCTCGACCAGGGGCATCCGCTGCAGCTGGTCGAGGCTTGGCATCTTTGCAGCCAAATGCATCGAGCCCAAGACCATACCAGACCCATCCGCCACCGCCTCGACCGCTCGCCAGGCCTCTCCATCTGCATGAGCAGCAAGCTGCCCGGTCCATTTTGGAAATCTTCACGACAATGGCACCGAGCCGCTGGGGGATGTCTTGCCTCTTTGTCATACCTGGCGGGGCTTTTCAGCAGCTGGCCGAGGTTTGGCATCTTTGCAGCCAACCGAGCCCATTGAATCGGGGCCGGGTCTAGCCCTATACTTGTCGCCATCAGAAGACTAAGCCAGCCCGCTGGCCTTCTAGTCGTCGCCGTCGTGGTCGGGTGTCTTACCTCTTCCAAAATGCTCAAGCCAAGAGGGTTCTGAACCCGGTGAAGCTCTGATCGAGAGGCGCGCGCGGTGGGGCTTTTCGGTCTCTTAAGCCTACTCCTGGTTTGAGATAGGTGACAAGCTCCGCGCGGGGCTCTTGTTATGGTTTGGCGGATTCTATCTTTTGGCTCAACCTTTTTCGTAACTAATAAGCTGGACGCAATTCTTCTCAACTAGTAAGAGGACGCACTTGGAAGATTAGGCCTCAGCAACGCTATCGGGCTGAGCGGTTGCTTTTTTTCGGGCCTTGCCTTGGTTGACCGGGGCGAGAAAACCAGGAGCCCTTGGTCTGCGTCATGTACTACGGCACGAAAAGGAAGCCTTCGCCCCGATGTTGTCGTGGTAATTCTTGCATGCTGGTGGGGTGGAGGGCTCAGAACCTCGGAGAGACCGAAACCGGAAAAAAGGACCCCAACGCACGAAGCGAGGGGGGCCAAGACTATAACGATCGGATCATCCCCCTGCCATAGTGATGCGATTAAATAACCCCGAAAAGCTAAGGACTTGCTCAGGCCAAACCTGCAGAGCTTTTTAAGCTTCGACAACGCTACTCGAGGCCACCGGAAGTCACGCCATAAAGCAAAGCGATAAGGATTCCCAGCAATTTTTCTAATTTTTCACGACATCCCCCAACAAATTAATTCCCTGGCGGGTCAGTCCTCCGGTGGGAGTAGTTTCCAGACCCAGGGGCAAGATTAATATAATGACGCCGCCCGGGTGACCGGCGTCGCCTGCCATATAGCAGCCCCCTTTTTTATTGTCTATTCCAAGAGAAGAAGTCCTATGGCTTACTACTGTACTTCCTTAAAAACTGGCCCAACCAGCTGCAGAAGTCGCCGGGGGTTACGCCATAAAGCAAGGCGCTAAGTCGCGAAAAAGAGCAAGACTTAAGTCTTGGGGAATTGGAATGGGGGACGTCGTGAAAAATTAGAAGAGTAAGCCCCTGCAAGATAACGCTGACCCTGTGGAGCTTTTTAAGCTTCAACAACGCCCCTGGGAATTGCGCCAAGCACTACTCCAGGCGGGTCAGATGCGGCAGTCGGGCAGATTGACTTGAGCCCTAGACCGGGAATCAGCCCCAAGACTCAAACTCAACTGCGGAACTTGAACCCCTACCCAACAAAACCCCCGCGGGCGTTGTGTGCCTGCGAACAAGACTGGCTTTGCTCATCAGATAAGGCCCGCGCCATGTACTGCGGCACGAGCCGCGCCCCCCGCTGTTGCTTTTCGAGCATGAGATGACGCAGATGAGACATCGCGCCGCCTGCCATAGAGGGAACACCAGGGGAGGCGGGCTCTCGGTTCAAGGTTCAAGATTCAGACCAGACGCCGCGTCGCCTGCCATATATATAGAGGGAACACCAAGGGGAGCGGGCTCGCTCTCGCTTCAGGGTTCAAGATTCAGACGAGGCATCGCGTCGCCTGCCATATAGAGGGAACACCAAGGGAGGCGGGCTCTCGGTTCAGGGTTCAGGATTCAGATGAGACATCGCGCCGCCCGCCATAGATATAGAGGGAAGGGGGTCTCGGTTCAGGGTTCAGGATTCAGATGAGACATCGCGTCGCCTGCCATATACATAGAGGGGACACCAAGGGAGGCCAGCTCTCGGCCCAAGGTTCAGGATTCAGATGAGACATCGCGCCGCCCTCCATATAGAATAGAAGGGACACCAAGGAGAACCGGCCCTCGATTCAGGGCGCAGGATTCAGATCCATCCCCTATAGAAAGGACACCAAGGGGGGCCGGCTCTCGGTTCAAGGTTCAGGATTCAGAGGGGAGCCCGTCAGGCTACTAGTACGGGAGCCCTCTCGGAGAGTTGGAGCCTCCGGCCTTTAAACTGCTAAACACCTCGAGGATTTTCTTACCCCTAGTGGTGGTAGTAATGGCAGTAGGCCCTCTCGGAGAGTTGGAGCCTCAGGCCTTTAAACTGCTAAACACCTCGAGGATTTTCTTACTCCTAGTAGTGGTGGTAGTGGCATTAGTGGGCACCCACATGAATAAGGATTTTTGAAGCGTTTTCTAGTCGTGTTAAGGTCCTAAAAAAAAGCACAAAAATCCACAGCAACAATCTAGAAAGAGGACGAGCATCCAGCAAAAAAGGAGGCCAAGAAGGACACAAAAACGAGGGAAGGTCGGGCAGATTCCACCGAGAACCGAAGCCATTGAATCGAGAACCGAGTCCATCCGCGGAGAGCTCTCATAGAGTGCAGCCCTATACTTCTGCGCTCTGAATCGAGAACCGAGTCCATCCATGGAGAGCTCTCATAGAGTACAGCCCTATACTTCTGCGCTCTGAATCGAGAACCGAGCCCATCCATGGAGAGCTCTCATAGAGTGCAGCCCTATACTTCTGCGCTCTGAATCGAGAACCGAGCCCATCCATGGAGAGCTCTCATAGAGTGCAGCCCTATACTTCTGCGCTCTGAATCGAGAACCGAGTCCATCCATGGAGAGCTCCCATAGAGTGCAGCCCTATACTTCTGCACTCTGAATCGAGAACCGAGTCCAGCCATGAAGGTGTATAATAGAGGGCGCCCCTTTATCTGTGCGCTCTGAATCGAGAACCGAGCCCAGCCATAGAGATGCATAATAGAGGGCAGCCCCATACCTGTGCGCTCTGAATCGAGAACCGAGCCCAGCCACGGAGATGTCTAAATAATAGAGGGCAGCCCTTTATCTGTGCGCTCTGAATCGAGAACCGAGTCCAGCTATGGAGATGCATAATAGAGGACAACCCTATATCTGTGCGCTCTGAATCGAGAACCGAGTCGATCCATGGAGATGTATAATAGAAGACAACCCTATACCTGTGCGCTCTGAATCGCGAACCGAGTCGAACCATGGAGATGCACAATAGAGGGGAGCCCTATATCTGTGCGCTCTGAATCGAGAACCGAGCCGAACCATGGAGATGCATAATAGAGGACAGCCCTATATCTGTGCGCTCTGAATCGCGAACCGAGTCGAACCATGGAGATGCATAATAGAGGGCGCCCCTATATCTGTGCGCTCTGAATCGAGAACCGAGCCGAACCATGGAGACACGGCAGAGCTGTCCCTCCTGAATCGAGAACGAGCAGCGCATCTCATTGCGGGCGCGCATTTATTGACGGCTATGCTGAAGCTCTGCTGCGGAAGAGATCGCCCAGGCTGCCTACCTCCGCTCCGGTAGCACTTATCTGAACTGTTGCAGAATTTGCGGGGTAAGGCAACGAATTCACGAGGGAGACACCTGGACCAAAATACACTAAGGCGGATTCTACTGCGATGCTGAGCAAAGAAGCAGTGGCGCAGCTGATGTAAAAGGAAGAAAAAAAGGACGCGCCTGATCTAGGGCCCCGCGATAATGGTAACGCCCTGCGCTGATTTCTAGAAGGTTCCCTGACTTGTGTCGTGATGCTTATGCATGAGACATAGCTCTAAGGCGTTCGCTGTTTGTCTGTTCTATATAGATCGGCGGGACTCTATGAAAGCGCCAGCATCTCACTGCTTCCGCACAGCCTTGGAGCTGGATGCCTTCACGCTCGTCGTGGTTTTGCCCTTGGTGGGGCTGGATGCCTTCACGGTCGACGCCTTGGACTTGGAGGGGCTGGACACCTTCACGCCTGACGCCTCTGCCTTCGAGGAGGTGGACACCTTTACCGTGGGGGATATGCCTGAGGCCTCAGAGCTTGCGGCGCCCGTAGAAATTCGGAGAGAGCGAAACCGCGCGGCATCCTTCTGGTAATGTTTCTGCAACGATTAGAGCACAAACAAAAGACAGGACACAGCTGGCGCATGAGTTTGTGAGGATTTAGCTAAAGGACGAAGGCCACGGGTATAATACCAGACGAACGAGAAGAGCACAGGCTCGGGCAAAGAATACAGAAAAACGCCACCACCCACACGCAGGCCCCTACCCTTGCCGAGCGAGACAGGTGGCAGCCCTCCCTCCGCCAGATCATAAAATAAAGCGAGGGAGTAGCGCCGCCCTCGTGGCCAATGATTAGAGGAAAACCCAAGGAGAAAACAGGCGCCCCACTCATGGCTCTGCTTTGCTAGTCGCTTACCTCAAGAGGCCCGCGCGCTCCTTGAACAAAGCAAAACAGAAGACAGAAGCGCCGCCAGTTCCTTCCCTTCCCATACTGTGCCTCTCGAGACGCCACGACCCCAGCAGCCGACGCAACCGCTTCCAACTGCAACCGCGTCAAGCTCGTGAGATCTCCTTGCCCCACCGCGGCGAGAGCCTCCTGGTTCAGGTTTAGGTAGAGGAATCCACCACAGAGCCAACCTCCTCAGAAATATCCCCGATGGCGCAGCTGAGCAGGGTGCCCCACTCCCTGGAACATCCTGCCAACTATTTCAAAGACCACAACCACAGACACGCTAGCCACGACCGCCTGCATTTAGCGGCTGCGGCACGTCCCCCGAGCTGAGGAAGGTGATGAGGCCGGCGCGGCTACAGACCGCCCTGGGGCAGGTTTTAGAGGCAGACGCCTGGCGCTTGGTTGCCTCGCTTTTTTATGCCTTGCGTCCCCCTCTTAAGAAAGGCAAAAAAAGACACACGAGAAGCACCACAAGCCTGCCGCCCGTAAGAGTAGTGGCCATGTCCTTCACCAGCGCACGGAGCTCGGCCGTAGACATCTCCCGCAGCCGGTCGAGTTTTGGCATCTTCGCAGCCAAATCCATCGAGCCCAAGCCCATGCCAAGCCCATCCGCCGCAACGTCCGCCGCCCGCTGGGCCTCTTCATGATCTGCATGCGCGGCAAGCTGTCCGGTCCACTTCGGAAGGGGCAAGACATTCCCAAGCGCCTCCGTGTCATTGTTGTGAAAAATTAGAAAAATTGCGGAACTATCAGCAGAGCAACTTGCTGAACTATCGACAGAACTTGCTGAACTAATTCGGAAGGGGCAAGACATTCCCAAGCGCCTCCGTGTCATTGTCGTGAAAAATTAGAAAAATTGCTGAACTATCAACGGAGCAACTTGCTGAACTATCGACGGAACTTGCTGAACTATCAGCATAACTTGCCGAACTATCAAAATCGACATAGCGCAACTTGCTGAACTATCAACGTAACTTGCTGCGCTATCAGCGTACTCGAAAAACTGAAATAAGCAAGTAACTGATCAGAATAACCGAGATACTGATGAGAAGGAAGGGTAGCCTTGATGTTAAGCTGCCTCCCTTGTTTCAGTTAGTAACTCGGTTATTTTGAGTTTTCGAATAACCTGCTGAACTATCAGCGGAACTTGCTGAACTACTGCAGTTCCCGAAGAAGGAACGCCTTCCAGCGAACAAGAAATGACACAGCTGGGACCCGAGGCTGAGTCCTGGAGAACGGAAACCAGCGCGCTACCGGCTGAGCTACTTCGTAGCGAAGATATGGAATGACCTACTTCGTCTAAACGTCTCGGGCTTCAGGTCAGTCTTCACGAGAAAACGCTGCCGCTAGTTTTCCTTCGAACGTTGGTGGTCAAAAGCAAAGCGAGGGCTTCTACCAGTTGGCCTACTTCTTTGCGCTACTGCTTGGCTTCCTACTCTCTATGGTTCTCGTCCAGGTTGGCTGATACAGCGAAGCAGAGGAGTACAGACGCCGGAACAGTCTCCCCACTCGAGTGACGTGAAGAACGTCAGACAATTCTACGCAGCCGACGCGACTGTAGCGAAATCCGCTGGCTTTTCGCTCACTATTGAGCTGACAGCCGGGCCATCTTGTCGCGTCAGTCTAGTCATGCAGTTAGTGTTAGGCCTGTGCCTCTGTCCTTGGAGGGGGGGGCCTGTGGTTTCGGTATCGTGTGCAGCTCTTGTCTCAAGGCATGGAACCTGAGACCTCAAAGCGCTAGCGCAAGATGCTGACCATTAAGCTATGCTACATGGCTCCAAGTGCGCAGCAGCAGGAGTATACTATTACAAGAGGGCCCACGGCTAGGCTAATAGTCTAGTGAGGGAGATCCGAAACTTCGATAGAGGTGGCGCAGAAGAACAAGGCGAACGCCTAGACCGTTGAGCCGATTTCACTACTTTAGTGTGATGCTTGACGATTGCAATGCCATCACGAAGGTGCACGCTTTGGGGGTTTGTGTTCTTACCAGGAATAGAGCCAGCTTATTTCCAGACGATGAACATGAAGATTGTAGCGGACCTTACTAACCACTGCGCCAGTTTTACTGTCTTCAGAGTGAAGCACGACGATCACTATATCAGCGCACGAAGATGGCCCAGACTAAGCAGGTAACTTCCCTAGGGCCATGCGCCAGAGATCTTGACCGAGATGGGCTGAGAACTAGCAAGGCAGGGGCTACAAATCTACGTGGATTCACAGTATCACGCGCGGAAGTTGCGTCCCTGATGTCTTCGAGACTAGAACCTTCAAGGATTGGCTAGAATATTTTCAGCAAGTGAACGTCTTGACCACTAGACCAAGCCTGCCAGCAGCTGATATGTTGAGACGATCGGCGTCATGTTCTAGCAGTCAAACAACGCGAGCGGCCAGAGGTGTGCCCTATTCTTGTGAACTACTGAGGCCACCCTTAGCGGCAAGGAACAAGAGCAAAATGGTCAGAAGCTAGGGAGTTTACGGCTACAAAGTTACTCAGTGGCATCATGCCCCACCGTGGTCAAGTAATACATGGGCGACAGCTGTCAGACCTATCGAACGAATTGGGCTCCAAGTAAACAGCCCCAGATCTCGAACCAACCTCAAACCCCGAATCAACCAGCCGCACACCCCCCCCCCCGGGCCTTAGGCTGGGAACCAAACCCAAGCCTCGAATCTATCTGCATTACACGCCACACCCACTCTGCGCCCCAGAGTAACCCTACAGCTACACCCCAAACCAACCTTCAGCCCCAAACTACCCCGAGATGAGACATCGCGTCGCCTGCCATTTAGAATGAACACCAAGGGAAGCGGGTTCTCAGTTCAGGGCTCAAGATTCAGATGAGACATCGCATCGCCTGCCATATAGAGGGAACACCAACGAAAGCGGGTTCTCGGTTCAGGGTTCAGGATTCAGATGAGACATCGCGTCGCCTGCCATTTAGAAAGAACATCAAGGGAAGCGGGTTCTCGGTTCAGGGTTCAGGATTCAGATGAGACATCGCGTCGCCTGCCATACAGCAAGAACATCAAGGGAAGCGGGTTCGCGGTTCAGGGTTCAGGATTCAGGTGAGACATCGAGTCGCCTGCCATATAGCGGGAACATCAAGGGAGGCGGGTTCTCGGTTCAGGATTCAGATGGCCAACCAAGTCCCTCCCATATAGAAGGGACACCAAGGGGACCCGGCTCTCGATTCAGGGCTCAGGATTCAGAGGGAAACCCGTCGGGCTACTAGTACGGGAGCCCTCTCGGAGAGTTGGGGCCTCGGGCTTTTAAAGTGCTAAACACCTCTAGAGTTTTCTTATTCATGTGGGTGCCTAGTAGTCGTAGTAGTCGTAGTAGTAGTTTGCCCAAGTTTACCCATTCTGGGGGCAAGTCCAACAAAGAGGGGAAAAGGAAAAGAGTAGTAGTAGTTTACCCAAGTTTACCCATTCTGGGGGCAAGTCCAACAAAGAGGGGAAAAGGAAAAGAGTAGTAGTAGTTTACCCAAGTTTACCCATTCTGGGGGCAAGTCCAACAAAGAGGGGAAAAGGAAAAGAGTAGTAGTAGTTTACCCAAGTTTACCCATTATGGGGGCAAGTCCAACAAAGAGGGGAAAAGGAAAAGGGGGAGACGCCTCCAGAGGTGGTGGCGTTTACAAGGAAGAGGCAAGGTAAAAAGGTCCTGGTGATGACATCAAAGACGAAGGTGGCCAGACAAGATAGATTTTGGTAGAAGTACCGACATGATCTACTTACCTTGTTGCTTGCACTGGCGGCGCTTTTGAAGTTCATACTGCTCTTGGCCCCTTTCGCAATCAGGCGCGATGATAATTGATTGCTTGACTTATAAGGACACGCCAGCACCTGAAGATTTGTTTTCCATTGGAAAGAAGAGGACAAGGACAGGGGGTCTTTCGATAATGTGGCAGGTGTTCTACTCGTACGATTGATATCTGTCCGGACAAATTGTTGCTGTTTATAGTCGTGATGACACAGACCATGACAATTCTGAAGATCTACCTTGTTCCCTGCGGTGAGTATTGTCGTTGGGTCCTGAGTAGAACCGGCTTCGCTGTTCGTCAGCACCGAGACCATGTTAGAAGAGCGCAAAGTCTCCAACTGCTGGGCAGAGGATTTCGGGGAGATCATCTTCTTAAGGCTGGTGAGTACACGTTTCAAGATGGTGCTTTTTGTTCTTGAGTACTACTTTAATACCAACACCAAGATCGATAAATTAAATACATTCTGCTTCTGAAGAAGTGATATGCTGTGAATTAAAAGTAGATGAAAATTCTAATTCTTATTGAATATTCTTAAGCACGTCCTCGCTCCCGCCTCCTTCCTGCTTCACGACCTGCATTTTGTCCTGCGTCGCGACTTGATGCATTCTGTCCTGCTTCACGGCCTGCATCTTGTTTTCGTCCTGCTTCACGACCTGCATTCTGTCCTGCTGTACGATCTGCATTCTGTCCTGCTTCACGACCTGCACTTTGTCCTGCTCTACGACCTGCATTCTGTCCTGCTTCATCGCCAGCATTCTTTTATAGTAGTTCGTGAGGTGTAGAATCGTGCTCGTGAGGTTTCAGGTACTAGTTGTTAGCGAGGTATGCGTGAGGTGTACGGTCTCCACCACGGTCGATCGTAGTAGTACGAAGATGCACGAGAAGTACGGGAAGGGCTGGCTCTATGAGGAACTTGATGCTGATATGTGATGGTGATGATGTGCTTGCTGTTGTTGTTGAGACTACTCGACACTTTTCTCAGTCACGAGTTGTTGTTGTGCTTGTGGGACATTGTTACTATCAAGAAATAACGTTCGCAATCATATTCAATAAGAAATAGACGTAGACCTCCCCGCCCACTCAATTCGAGACCACTAATTCGTGCTGATTGTTGTTGGATTGGTTTTTTGGATTGGTGGAGTTTTTTCTTTCCCTAATTCATTGACTCATTGAACTTGAACTATGACGAATGAAAGAACCGAGGAGTTCGGGAACAAGTCTGCTACAGACAGAGAATCAAGTCGACTAAATTCTACATACAAGGGAGATTTATTTGGTGACAGAAAAAGTTTACTTATCTTGCTCAAGGACGACGATGTGGTCAGAGAAGAGAGAGGCGGGCGAAAACGAGACGATAGACTTGTTCACTCATACTCGTCGCTCCTCACTATTATATCTCGCAGAAAATCGACCTGGTGGCCGTGGCGGATGGATCTGGATGTACAATGAATATTCTTGCTCATCTCTTAACAACAATAACTACATCAACAGAAAGATCTTCACTCACGAAACCGAAAGCCGTCTACAACAACAACTACAATCAGGCAGCGATGCTAGTTGTGAAATAATAATATCAAATACGAGAACGATCGAGGATGGTTTTCGATTTGTGGATCTGAGGGCGCTGCCTAAGTATTTACATCCCTTAATCGGTTCACGACGTTCCTATGAAGCACAGATTTTTCTTCGACCGATTGATGTTGCGACCACGTGCTCAAAGACTGATGCTAAAGGTGTCCGGGAGCAGGATGAGTGCAGCTGCTGCCAAAAGTACGTACAACAAGAATAAGACATTCAATTTCAGATTGAGATTGGCTTCGCTATAAATATTTCTAAAAATACTAGAACTAAGTTACTTAGTAGTTACTGTTAGTGCTAGTACTTGTTTCGATCAGACGAGTCGTTTCACTTTCGACCAGAAGATGCTTGAACACAAATGTTGAGGAGTGAGCCTGAGCGTGAGGACAACTCTAACAACAACATGCTGTCTAATTCGCAACAGCATTCTGCTCCTACTGTTGATTGAAAGTATGTGCAATTTAGTGAAGTCGTATTTTTGTCTCTATGTTCTTGTTGTGTGGTCGCATACATACTGACCACATCATGATGTCTACGATGTAGTATGCTCCAGTTGAAGGCTCATCTACATGCTATGTTATTCTTGTTGCAGTATGCAGTTCTTGAATGTTGAAGGCTAAGGCAAGTCGTTGTGAACGCAATCATGGCCCGCCGAATCTTCGCACGTTCTTCTTTAGAAGCTACTTCTTCTTCAGAAGCTATTCCTTCTTCTTGCTCAGAAGCTGAAGCCTCCGGCTAGATGATAGAATAGGCTAGGACCAAGAACTTCTTTAGATTCTAGGGCCACCTTCTCTAGAGCCTAGAAGCCTCGTCCGGCTAGATACGATAGGCAAAAGCGCCGCTTGCTCACCTGCCACACTGTAAGCCTGTGCCGTCCAGTAAAAGCCAACTCCTGGCTACCATTGAGCTAATCATCAATGAATTGATTTAACCTTCCTCGTCATGGTTATCTACTAGCTGCTTCGAAAAGCGCGTCTTATCGACTAGCTGCGACTGAGGTCTACTTCGTTGCAACTTCTAGAAGGTGATGTTGATGCTTCTAGAAGGTGACGAATGTGTAAAGGCTCGTCCGGTGATCCGGAAAAATGAGCTAGAAACTCCCCTTCTATAGAGGACGTTGACGTTCCTTTTCAGCCTTAACGAGCCTCCAAAAAAATCTACGTGTGCGTCCTTCTTCTTCTTGTTCTAGCTTCTTACTTTCATGACTCGACGTCTAAGTACCTAGTAGACCTACTATGTAAGTATAAACAAGATTCAAGTAGATCATTCACATTCATGATCATGATCAATCGTGCCCACGACCTCATTAATTGTTAATATTGCTCCTTTAGTACAAGAACTACTACAGCTTGTGAATTCGTTCGTCCGACATCTTCAGTTAATCAACGTTGTACATCATACAAGATAAGCCCGGATTTTTTTGTTCGGAATTTCTCAAAATTTGAACTAAGTACATAATTATCGGTGTAAATACAATATGCATAATCCCTACGATAAGATCTTCATGTAATAATTTCAAGGCTCCTGTGGTAGGCAATGATCGAACCTACATTTATAATACAACGAACTCTTACACCTGCTGTACCTGAGTCATACCTGAACAAGAATCAATATCAGGTGATACTATTTGTATTTAATAAAAACGTTGTGCCTCCATCAGAGAATTATTTGATTTTCATGTTTGAATGAAAAACTCAAGAAGAAGCCCTGTTCTAGTACATTCAGTACTGTGGCTCAGGAAAGGACGGATCGTGACTCACATTCCAAATAATTCACGATTCGTGAGGTGATCCACATTCCAAATAAAGGTACTAGTACTCTTACTCACGCCATCGACGATCATTATTTTCGACACGGATCACCTGTTCTAACATCACCTCATCATGATCATCTATAATGCGTCTTTTGTTTTCAGATCTTCTTGAATTGAGATCAAGATCAAGTCTTTCTTCTTTATTCGTTGTACTCTGTATTTTTACATCAAGTGCCTACTCCTGTTGTCATATATTTTTTGATCGACGTCTCTATGCTACATCAATTAAGTACGATTATATATTGGTGACTTAACTCAGAATCAAGCATATTATGATTAAATCATCTGTTAGATTACAAGATGAAGATGTGTGTCTTCTTCATGACCTAGATAATATCCACTACTGCAGCATAGTTAGTAGATGAAGTTGTGCTCTGAAAGACTGTCTAATAATAAATAATAATAGTGATGAAGGACGAAGTGGTGAGTCACTTTCTAGACACAAGTAGTACTGTATTGACTGCTGAGTTAAGTAGTAGTATTTCGACCAACATGTGAATTAAGTAGTATTGTGATTGTGAATTATAAGGTTGTGATTGTGAATTAAGTGCAAGTGCTAAGAAAGTATTGTGAATTAACTAAAAACCTACAGTAGAACTCCTCCTCTAGTAGTTCCACCAATCATGCATATTAATCCTCCTGGACGAGCCGGGTCTCTTCGTCCTCCCAGTGTCTTAAGAATAACTGCGAATAAGTGTGAATATACATACTGAGAATGGTGATCCCCCCTATCCTTGTCGATATGAAGAAGATTAAGTGTCCCTATAACTTCTGTAACAAACAAGTGTACGCCTGCTGCGAATGCTATAAGTAATAAAAGTGTCGTAGTAAGAGTCTTAACATTAACTAAGCTGGTGACTTCTTCCAGTAGAACGGGAATCGACATCTAGGCTGAACGAACGCAGTGCTGTGGTCGTCCCACCTGCTTCCTTCACCCAAAAGCCTATTTGTGCTAGTAGTAATTTGAAGAATTTAATAGTACTACAAACTTTTCTTTGTGCTAGTAGTAATTTGAGTAGTTGTAATCTGAAGAATAAGTAGTAAAAGTGTAGTTGTTATTTTCCTTTAGATTTAGTTCGTTTGTAGTTTTGTTGGTTCACTCAGCTGATGGCTAATCGACTTCCAGCTGAATGAATGAGTGAGTGAGTGAATGAATGTACCCACTCCAGGGGATTAGAAGACTTCACTACACCCAGGCTTCGAGTCAAATATCAGACTTCCTCCTCACCGCAGCTGCTGGCTGCACTGCTTGACGACGAGCTGCCGATCGCACTATTAGAAGAAGTGCTCCATGATTTTCACAAATGGGCATGGGCTTGATTTTTTTGAAATCTAAGAAGAATGCAAGAGCTACCAGATGACCTGCTGCTTTAGCTTTTTTGCCAGTACAAGAACTTCAAACTCGACTACTAGGTAAATAAAAATGAAAATGTATCTATCTGGTACCGAAAAGTTTCAATCATGACATCAAGATCAATGAAGCAGTCCCGACACTACTGAGCAAATAACTAAGTACGAAATAAAATAGATAAACATAGAAGGACCGGCACAAGTACTTCTAGTAGAATCTTTAAGATGAAGAAGCCTGCTCTGCCTTAATAGTACTAGCCGCTGATGTTTGGATTAGGCGCGCTTCTGGCTTGGCGGCGACGATGTAATCGAATTTGTGGCCGTAGCGACTCAGAGAAATTGCGGTCTGGAATAAAGGAATCGTTCCATACAACAACAAAGTCGGCTGACCAATCACATTGATGTCAGTGTAGACCTGGTTTTTTTACATTGAGTCAGTGATGTTCTTGTTTGGGTAAAGGTCGCGGCGCAGAGTAAGCATATGTATTCTTACGAATTGAAGACACGAATCTGCCCGGCAACCTGCCTGAAATTTCCCGGGCGACTTTTACCCGCTCATCTAGCTCGCTGTTGGATTGTTTGGGGTATAATTTCGACAGTTCCTGTTGATCATCCTGATTGCATTAAAAAGAAGTACCTGGACAAAGGTCTTGATTTGTCCCCAGGTGGTGAGTTTTCGCGTGAGGGGAACGATATCTCCCTTCTTCCTCAGCTGCTTGATGTCCTTCTTTTCGATGGGCTCGACTGCGACTATATTCCCATGAGCATCGGGCACTGCCAAACCGTACTCGGTGTCCTGGTACACATCGCTATCCGCGTCCGCATCAGTTGACAAAAAATACAGAGGACAATACCTGAACGGAAAAGGAAACATCATACTTGAGCTTGGAGTAAAGGGTCAACCAGTTACTATTCTAAGAATAAGATATTTGTACAATATAGTATTAATAGTGTTTAATAAGTACAATATAGGATATATGTTACTAGTCTAATAGTATTCTTCAAATAAGATATTTGTACAATATTAGAGCAAAGAGAAGTTGTACAGTCCTTCTAGCGAGTCCTTGACGCCCATGAAGTTAGCGCCGACAATCATCGACCCAAAGACGGGAGTAGAGTATTGCAAAAACAAGCACAACGCGTTCAACAACGCTGACTCTTGTCTCATGATATTCAGCATGTTCAGCTCATCCCACAGGGCACCGTTCCATAACGCAGTGCAGACCCAGAGTTAGAGAAATAAACAGAACTACATCATTGCTACTCAGTACTCACTGTTGTACTTGTAATCAGTGTTTATGTCGTGAGGTACAAGAAGAACTAGCCTTAACAGAAGAGTGCGGCGACAGCGAACAGGTGCAAGACCAAAGTATGCACGCAGTTGAAAATCGTCACTGTGCAGTACTTCAGGACTAGATTCAGAATTAGAGGAACAAGAAGAGATATTTGGAAGCAGAGATATTTGGAGTCCACGGATGAAAAATTGGCTAGAATAGAAGTCGATCAGCAAGATCATCATCACCATATCCATTTCTATAATAGAAGCAAAGTATTTTGGAACACGCACTCCATGGTTTGGCTTTTGGTTTTGGCTTATAAGTTTAATAACTTAGAATAATTCATTGAATACACTCCACCCGATTGCACATTTCTGAAATTCTTGCTCATATTCTTTTCGAACTATACGAGCATTAGCCTTAAGAGAAACTGGAGATGCGCAGCCCAGGGCATTGGATCTCGGCTCTCGCGTGCAATACTGTAGTGCTGGAGGAGTAGGTAAGCCAGCTCCGATATACCCTGCATGTGTCGTCGTGCTTGCTTGTACCTGAGTTGTCGTGATCGATTTAGGGAAGTACCCAGTCACCATCATACGGCCCATAGGATGGGTAGATGAGACGTTCAGTGAAAAATAGATGAAAAGGAAAAGAAAGGAAGCACCCAAAAACGTCATGCCTCTTGCAAGGAGATTGCTGCAGCCTCCCGGGCCGCAATCTACTACGAAGAGAAGAAAGAAAACACGTTCAAGAATGGGGAATAATTGGGGCTCTCTTGAAGTATTTCGAGTCGTTTTGTTGGTTTTCGAAATCGAATCTCATATCAGTAGCAAATTAGCCATAAGGCGCTTCAGATCCTGCTGAAAAAGGTGTCGAATCTTGAGCCAAAATGGCTCGGAATGACAAGGAGAAACAAGAGGCCGCCAGCCCTTGCTTCCAAGTGGCTAGGAGGTGAAAAAGAAGAGAAGACAGAAACTAACCGGAAAAGCGGAACCCTACGCAGACCCACGAAAGTCGTCGCAATTTTTTCCAAATTCTTCGGGGAGGTCGTGCAAATTTGGACGAATTTGCATGACCCCCACGAGATTCCTTAAAAAAAACCCCTTGACCATTCGAATCACGACAAGGAGCCAACTGGAACTAATTGGCCTCCGGTCTCCTTTCGAACCACGACTTGAACCAAAGGTCTGAGACTTTTCGGACTTGAGTAATTTAGGATCTTCAAGGAGCTGCTTTCGTGATTCTTAACCACGCTCTCCCTAGTAATGAATAACGACGCACTACTGATGCAAATGTGCGCACATGGTGATAATGATACTCTTGAACAAGTAAACGGAGTGCTGCCGTTGCTGTAGCGGGTGGGCGACATTTTCATCTTGTAGTTGTGCGTAGTTGTAGTAGTTCTAATGCAATAAAGTAGGATATCAAGACGTCGATCAATGACGGACATCAAGATCGATGGACCACGTACTAGAAACCATAACCAGGAACAAGAATACCTTGAGTGAATATTGTGCAATGTTCCTCTTGAGTCTTCCACGAGGTATGAGGTCACCGGTGTGTACAAAGCCTGCAGTCTCAGTTTGCTGATACTCTTTACGCTTCGGTTCGTTTCATTGCTGAAGAGGCTCTCCCAATGCGCGGCGCAGAGGCACTTCATATACATGTGATGGTCTTCAGCTATCACATCTGCATCCCAGCTGTACTTAGCGATTAAAAAGATCAACATGTCGCTATCTAGTAAGGCTAAAGCGGATGGGGATGCTTCCTCTATCTTGGGAATTCTATTTCCACTCAAGATACTCAGAAATGCACCTACCCCACACACACTAGAACGCGATTAACACCACAAGATACAACAAGTAGTGTCAGTTGTGACCTCAGAGATGAAGTGCCTAATCTTTATGAGTGACCTGAATATTAAAGGACTATGTACATGTAGTCAATGGCATGTAGAACAAGTACTGAATTAATATGCTTAGAAGTTGTAGCGGAGAGCTCAGTGCTTGAAATGAGTGAAGTCTACACCTAGAAGAGGCAGTATTAACTATTTTCAGCCGTAACGTCCACTATCGGATGGTTGGCCAGTGCTAGGGTTAGTGTGTACGTGCTGAAGACCAGGTGGTCCATTACCGGTGAGGACACCAGGCCACTAACTTCAAACAAGAACGTTCCGTAGCTACTAGTTCTCACTGGACCAGGAACTGTCTCCCAGTTGCGCCAATTCTGAGTGAGGATGAGGATCATGAATACATTGATTTAGAAAGATGAACGGCCTCGTCCCAGTTCTTACGCCAATTCTGCGTGAGAATGAATACAAATACTTACATTTTCATTCAAAAAGATCAATCATGAATAAATACTTATTAAAAAAGTAAGACTGAAGATGAAAGAATACATTACTTAATTCAAAAAAACGACCTCCAATTTCAATTCTACATCCTACCAGAATGGGTGGTTGCCACATGGTCCACGACCGTTCCTCTGGCGTTAGCTGCATAGCTTTCAGTGTCAGATTGGCGAAATACTCTTTGTGATGGATGCTGTCGGCGTCTGCTACGGTAATAAACACCTTTGACGGGTCTTCTGCCTGGTCGCACTCGCGGCTGACATAAGCACCATACCACCTCTGCACTTCCCTGTACGCCCACTGTGTGTTGCTACTTTGATTAGAGAAAGATGAGAAAATAATTCTATGAGATGAATCATGATTTTATGAGGTACCAAGGAGATTATAATAGGTGCTCCCAAACTCAAACTTACTCGTCCAAGTGGCAACTTTGTTCATCAAAACGTAAACAAAGCACTTACTGAGAAGACGAGGAGGTCGTGGTCTAATTTGTTCATCTTTCTCCTTGTTCAAAAGGTAAGTTAGTATAGTGAAGAAGTTGTCATAATTTTGCCCTTTACTTCGCCAGGAATGGATGCTGGATGATAGGTCGCAAATATCGCTCGAAACAAGTGCGCATGTCGCGCAATCAGGCGGTCGGCCTTTTCTCTCCCCTTGTCACCTTCACGAGCCTCCATTGCCAAGACGCAAACCATGTGGGTATTAGAAGGATGCCAATCTAATTCTACAGGTTTCTTCGCTTCTTAACTATTAGTTACAGCCACTATTTAAACAAAGTAAAAAACTTCTACCATGTGGGAATTAGAAGGAGGTGCCACGACTGCAAAGGGAAGTATCTAATTACAACTATGCATCTAAGGGGATGGGTCGTGAGTGCTTTAGTTCATCCTCCTAGAAGATGATCGATTGGGCAAGGAACTTCCAGAGTGATACTAACTGCCTCAGCCGTTTTAGTATATGCGCCATAAACTTCGCTGCAAGTTTGTTATTGGCAACGTTATTGATCGTTTGGCTTAGCATTTCCTCTTCCTCGTCGAAGTTGGGAAGGATGACGAAATGAAGCAATCCTTCATCAATTCCCGGGTTGCGTGCCTGTCGTGTGCGTGGTGCTCATGGGGGGTTATTCTACTTATTGAGTGGGGATGTTCTTATTCACTTTGTTGTTGAGGGCTATTGCGGGTTACTGAAATCATAGTACCATCCAAGAATACCAAATTTTTAATACCTCCAAATACCTATAATTATACCAAACCCAAAGAATGATGAAAAATCATAATAGGAAATACCAAATAGTCTTCCCATTTTTTTCCCCAATCTTGGGAGCACTCATCGCGCATCTTGCGGATGCCGAAGAAAGAGCAGGTGCCCATATACGTAACCCATCCTAGCATCCAGCATCCCATCATGATCACTAGGTGGATAGACATATGAAGACAGGAAAAACTACAAGTGTACTCATCATGTTTCATATTAGTTCTAGAAGTGCTCCAGGTATTCAAATTTCAAGTATAATTTAGGATCATCGATCATTCATCAAGCGGGATCATTGAGCTTCTCCTGAGTAAGATTCTTCATCTGAGTACACTTGTGAGTACACTTGAGGTCATAAAAGAGAATCTGGCTCCAGAAGAGCGCAAGGACGAACGCACCAGTGGTCGAAAAGGTCAAAATTGCGGGAACATGGCAAGCGAAGTTTGACGCCCGATCTGCGTTCGCCAGAGAAATGTATCGTCCGACATGACCGGCACCTGGAGGTAAGAATTGAAAGATTTAGAAGGAATAACTCAGGAAAGCGAAGATTGATATAGAAAACAATGTCTTATTTATTGTAGCTAAGTACGTCCGACCCCGACATGAGCGGCACGTCGTGGTAATTTAGAAGATGAACCTGATAGTACCAAGTAGAGGACCGAGATGACAATAAAAGGTCAAAGAACACAAATATGAAAACGCTGCAATAATATCTGCATCCATGGAGAATAATGTATGGATGAATGTACCCACTCCAGGGGTTTCAGAGTCTTTTTCTATCTTCTCAGTGTAATAAGAAGAATACCTGCATCTCCATCTCCTCGCCTTTTTAGTGGTTGATATGACGCTTTGTTCAGGCACCTGCCGAATACCCGAGAGAAAAGAGATGACATTTTTTCCATTTCTTTCAAGATGTTTAAGTAGATGCTTAAGTGGGGCCCCTACTGGGTCCCTTGTTCTTCGAGAGCAGAAAAGCCAGTATTTTCAGATTACAGCTTACAACTACAACAAGTCTTCTTTATCTCTTCTTCTACCCCTTAGTGCAAGAACAAGTCATCTTCTACAACAAATACAACAAATCTTTATGTAGAAGAAGACCTATTTTGATCGTTTTGATAATTTTCTAGGTGGTGAAGAAGAGAATGATAAAACACTAGAGGATCTTCTGCTATATTAGCTTGTGTTATCACGAGAAGCTGTGAACAATAGTTAGACTTACTCTGTGATTTATTGAGCGAGCAGAAACCACAAGGACACGCATTATCGAAATATCATTTTGAGTGTAGAGAAAACAAAGTTAACGAAGCGTCACAATTTCAATAAAAACGACTAAGAAGAAAAGCAATATGCGAATATCATCAAAGTACTGATGAAGATGACAAAAAACTATAATAACGTGTATGTCTTCTATTTTGGTCTCGTTGCTTACTTAAGAAGCTGAGAAATCAAAAGAAGCGATAGTGACAACGTACTAAGCGATGATGATTGTTCTCTTTCATCTCGCGATCATAAACAAGTACAAGTAGAAGTAGTCCTTACTAAGACTAATAAATATAGAAGCTGAGAACTGTAATGCGCAAGTCGGCAGGAGTTGTCCAATTGACCGCTAGGGGCCGAGGGGGAAGTCTGTGTGTAAGAACAGGGGCCTGTCGAAGGATGGTGTTCGAGTATCCGATAATTGACATGATAGACGCAGTTAGCGATGTAGTGAACGAAATAATCTGTACCTGATCATCACATGAATGTGTTGTAGAAGTAGCAGATTTTTCTACAGTCGTGAACAAAAAAGACGCCTTACTACGAGACTCATCATCGACGACAACACGTCATTATAGTCTCGTAACGAAAAAAGCTCTCATCTCTCGCTCGTACTCGTACTCGTCGTGCGTCTCTTAGACTTCAGTCGATAAAACTGAGTCTTCTTCACTCGTCTTCAGTATTTTCATCGTCTCACGAACTTCTATCTTCTAGAACACGAAAATTTCTTGTTGTAACACACTCATCAGGATCTCCTGATCCTGTCAACAGGATGATGATCTCCTGATCATGATAGTGTTGGTGGAGCAGGCCTAATGAGAAAAAACAAAAACCGAAAAAAGAAAGGTCTGTATGGTTCTGGTATTTGGTAACCTGAATTTGATCATAAGCGAAAACCTGAATTTGATCATAAGGGTTCTCTTCTTGTTTTCCCTTATGATCAAATTATTCAGGATACCAAATACCGGAACCATTCAAGGTCAGTAGTAGCATAGCCAGTCGCGGGGTATAACTCTTCACCTTCATCATGATAACTGACGTTGTGGGTTCAGATCCTTTGTAAACTTCTCCACGGTACAGCTCCTTATTGACAAAATCCGCAGAGAGCTTGTTCTACTTCTCGTTACAGAGTCCTGATTGAAGATCACCCGATGGTTCCTAAATAAACAGTGACCGTCACGCGACCCCTTCACCACGTCCGTGCTGTCAGGCTACCTCTCTACTGCGCGCGACCTCCTCACCTCATCTGTGCCGCCAGGCTATCTTGTTCCCGAGTAAAAGGAGATAAGTACTTACCGTCTCTCCGTCGGGTTAGGTTCTTAGGTATCCTTCACACCGAGTCCGACCCGATTGCCTTCTTGACGATGTGAATCGATTCGGCAATTTGCCTAACAAGATTTCCGTGGCGACTTCTTAACAGAGTTGAACAAATTCAAGGTGGCTCGCCAGAGTTTTATGTTGACTTCAAGATAAACCGATGGGCCTCAGAGCAATTTTTTCTGAAGAATGCCGATGCAACTGCTTCTCCTGAATACTCAAAACTCAAAAAAGAAAATGCATCTCTGCTCCATAGGGTGATACCATTATTAGACAAACATATAGTGCATGAAAATCTCAAAATTCTATTTTCTTGGAAGGTTTTGATCTTTTGATTTTGAATTTTGATTTGAAGTTTTGACTTTTGATTCATTTAGGACATCCATTATAATGTTTTGAACCGAAGAAGACCAAGATCCTTCAGTTTCTTTGGACAAAAAAATATAACAAAAGAGCCAAGTTAATAGTCTTATAAATTTTGAATTTTGATTTTGAGTTTTGGTTTCGAATTTTGATTTTGAGTTTCGTCCGTTTTGAATATTGAAAACCAACACACGCGGCGACAACACCGCAAAAACGCGCCGCGTTTTGCTAGACCCGTAAACTTTGAAAGTTAAGGTATGCATTGGGAAAGTTAGGGCATGAATTGTGGAAGTCAGGGCGTGAATTCTGAACGCAAGAGCGTCAATTTTGAAAGAAGTTAGGACGTGAACAATTGCGCGAGCCACCTAGGCCAACTTTGAAAGTTTGTTAGGGCGTGAATTCTGAAAGCTAGGGCATGGCTTGAATTGTGAAAGTTCGGGCATGAACTTTGAAAGCTAGGACACGGATTTTGAGAGTTGGGACTTGAATAACATGAATTGCGAAGGTTAAGACGTCGTGAATTTTGAAAGTGAGGGCACAGGTTTTCGAAGTGGTTAAGACATGAGCTGCGAAGGAAAGCTAAAGCCTGAACTTTGAAAGTTAGCAGGGCGTGACGTCTCAAAGTTCGGATACGAATTTTGGAAGTTAGGACATGCCCGGCGAAAGTTATATAGAAGGCATGAATTTTGAACAAAGTTCAGGCGCCCGCTTGCTTTGGCGTCCCGCTCTCCTCTCCGTCCCCCCAGCCCTGGGCCCGCGCGGTTCGTTAGGGCGTGAGCTTTGAAAGCTAAGGCGCCCGCTTTGGCGCCGCGCTCTCCTCTCACCCCAGCCCTGGGCCCGCGCTGCCTGACGGCGCGAGGCAGCGGCCTCATGCAGTCCAGTCGCGTCACTCGCTCGCGTGCAGTCGCGTCACTTGCCTGCAGCGCCGCGCCCCACGGGCAACGCCCTACACCTCTGAACCCCCGCAGACCGCCGCGGGCTCTGAATACCTCAGACCCCAGCCAGCGAACGAATTCCCACGGCGTGGCATGTGCCTGCCTGTGCCTTCCGCTTGAAGATAGGCCCGCAGGCGCTTCCAACCTTACCAGGCGCCCACAGGTAATATCCCCCGGAGGCAAACGAGGCACACTGATAAGGCCCTCCGCCCCGCCGCAGCGCGCCCGATGACGCCGCGCCAAGGCTGACGCTCCTCGGGCTTCTTCTCAATTGTGGCGCCTGTGCAAGCATGTCCGTGCGCGTGTTTTGTCTAGCGAGTGTCTCTGGTTCCCATCGTATCCTTCCCCTGGGGAACCACACCAGGGAGCTAGTATGGTGCAACATGTTGACGCTGTTGTTGGGATCTCCCTGGTCTGCCACTGCCTATCCTTGTTAGTCTTAGTCTTCCCAGCTTGCTTCTCCTCTTAACAACCCTATGCAACATCTTCAGCTCCTAGGAAGTAGAAGACTTTTATGATAGTTTGACAAATAAACTTAATCGAGAGTCGGTCGTAGACTGACAATCATAATCATTAGCAGCAGTTGTACGAGAGAACAGATGACTCACTTTATTAGTACAGATGTGTTTTCAGTCACTCGCGCCACCTTTGCACCCAGTCAGCGCAAACAGCGACGACTTTCAACAATATTCAACCGATTTCATCATCAATTATAATGTTCGTTGTATTTCATCTTCTAGTTCTACTTGTTGGAGATTGATTAACTCCGACTTTTACCGAGTCTCATAAGATCATCTCTCAACGAAAGTAGAGTGCTTGACAACCTGAACACAACGACCTCTAGCAAGATTCATAGAAGCCCTCGTGCTCGTCACTCAAAAGACCCCCCTCGCAAGCAACACAAGCGCAAGCAAAACAAGCGCGGAAAGCGGCTGTAGCCTAGTAGGTACCGGAGGGCCTATGTATTGCTAGAAAGGTCCTACGGGGAAAGAGAAAGGTCCTACGGGGAAAGAGAAACAAATCCCCACTGCGGGCCGAACGGAACCACGGGAAGAGAAATGAACCGAAGGAGGCAACAAGAAGATGCGCCTAGCGTCACCAGTACCAGCCTGCTGGCGGCTCCACTAGGACAGTGCGCGGCCTCACGCGCGGCCCGTCCCCGCTGGGTACACGTACAGAAGATCAAGATGATCAGGATTCTATAAGACAGAAACTTCAGAAAGAACCTGTTGGCGACGCCACGACTTCTCAAGAACGCTAACTACGGTAGAAGAATCTAGAAAAAGAACGATGGGTGATCATTGCTTACTCCACATCACGATCACGTCTCAAGTTCTCACCTCGTGATCGTGGTGTGGAGTAAGCAATGATCACGTACACTCACCTCGCCATCGTCATGGCGTCTCAAACACTCCTCCTATACTGCTGCCACGACGAGACATGCTCAAGTTCAAGAAGTTCAATGGCAACAATAAAAATCGCAAAAAATCTAGTCGGTGATCAATGCTTACTCCACATCACGATCACCTCTCAAGTTCTCACCTCGTGATCGTGATGTGGAGTAAGCAATGATCACGTACACTCACCTCGCCATCGTTATGGGCATGGCGTCTCAAACAATCCTCCTATACTGCTGCCACGACGAGTTCAAGAAGCTCAAGTTCAAGAAGTTCAATGGCAACAATAAAAATCGCAAAAAATCTAGTCGGTAGTTCTGGTGGCTTTCTAACTGATGATGTTAGTCGGTTCGGAATTGTCCTACGACTTCCCTGAATCTCTTCTGGGTTTTACGGATTTCCCTGATGTTGAAACTGTTGTGTTGAAAAAGTTGGCTATGTGGATGCGGCGCTTCTACTTGCTCGCTATTTGCTTCCATTTCTACTATTTCGCCAGTTGTGTCCTGTTGTTGGAGATGATGATGATGAAGTTGAAGCTGTTGCCGTTGGTGCTGGCGCTGACATTCTAGTTCTAGTGCTAGTTGAGGTTGAGGTGGATCCTGTGGGAGAAGGATTTGAGAAGAAGAAGTGCTGCGCTGAAGTTGTCGATGGTGGAGGAGGGGGGGGGGTCGTTTGCCTTTCCTTCAGCTATGATCTTCCATCGCTCTCTTTCTAGGCAGTCATCCATTGTGGCAAATCTAGCCACTAGTTCCTTGGATACCCTATCCCTCCACGTTTCCCTCGGTCTTCCCTTTCTGTTGGTCTTCGCTGGCCTCCCAGCGTCTGTGGCCCCTATCAGTCTCCTCACCCAGCGCCCCTCTGGGTAGCGTACGACGTGACCCAGGTACTTCAGACGTGCGGACTGTAGTCTTTCTGAGAGCCTCCTCTGGTCTAGGCTCGCTAGTACTTCCTTTGTTGTCCACCTGTCCCTCTTCGTTATACCTAGGCACTGACGCAGCTTCTTGTTCCAGAAGGTGTCCAACGCGTCCTCCTGCCTCTGTGTCGGAGCCCAAGTCTCCGCCCCCCAGGCTAAGACCGGGTAGACAAACGAGTTGAGAACCTTCACCTTCAGCTGCGGCCGAACTCTACTGCTACAGAGTATGCGGCCCAGCTCCCCTGTCTTCCTTTGTGCCTTGTTTATTCTCACCTCTATGTCCCTCTCATCGTCGGCCTCCTCTGTGATGATCGTACCCAGGTACTCGAATTCCCTGACCCTCTCGATCAAGCCGATCGCCTCAGGGAAGGTCTCTGGCTGTCCCTCAGCGTTCACTACTAGGAACTTTGTCTTTCCCTCGTTTACCTGCAACCCGAACGCTGTGAAGGTCTGCCTTATGTCTCCCACTGCCTCGAGTAGCTCCTGCCAGCTCTCTGCGAAGCTGACTATATCGTCGGCGTATAGGAGCCTCTTGAGCTCGTTCCCATCTGTTTGGTTCATCGCTATGCTGTCACTCCTCGTGATCCTCTGCTGTCCCAGCCTTAGCCCCCCTGTCTGCTTTGTGTGTAGGAGTACGTATCGCACGACCAGGCTGAAGATGGTAGGCGACAGTAGGCAGCCCTGCTTGGTTCCTGTTGTTGTCTCTGTTGGCCTGCTTCTCGCGCCGTCTCGCTTCACCTGGAACAGATGTCCCCTGTATAGCGCCCAGAACTTAGCCTGCATCTCCTCAGGTAGACCGTAGTACTCGAAGGCGCGCTGTATCAGTGTGCGAGGTACCTTGTCAAAGGCCTGCCGCAGGTCGATGAACAACAAGAAGAGCGGTCTCCCTGCCTTCCTCTCGTTCTGTGCTAGTATCTTTAGCGCCAGTGTATTGTCGACGGCCCTCCTGTACCTCCTGAATCCCGCCTGCTCCTCCCCGAGAATGCTGTCTATAGCTCTCGAGATCTTGCTGTGAACCAACTGCGCGTGTACCTTTGCTAGAACGTTTAGTAGCGATATGGGCCGCCACCCCTCTGCCTTGCTCTGGTCCTTTCCCCGCTTTGGAAGCACTGTTACTAATGATTCTATCTCGTGTGGGCTGAGCTCCGCACCTTCCCATCTCCTCCTTACTGCTGCTAGGAGCCTCTTTCTGTTTGTTCCTTCTAGCAGAAGGAGATGCTCCACGGTAAGCTCGTCGGTGCCGCTCGCCTTCCCTAGCCTCAACCTCCTCACCGCGTCCTCTATCTCCCTGTCTGTGACAGTGCTGCTGACACCCCTGAGGCCCCCTCTGCCCTCGGTGGCTGTCTCCGCTGGATACGAGGATGGCTCCTGCCCTGTAAAGACTGTTTCGTAGAAAGCTCTGTGAAGCTCCGCCTTGCCCTTGGCTGTGTGCTCGGTCTTCCCGCTATATGCCAGCGGCTCAGTTGTCACCCTTCTTACCCTCTGCGCGGGCCTTCTGCCGTAGTACCTGCTTACTCTGCCCAATGCCGGCGCTAGTCCACTCTTCGCATAATACTCGTCAGCCTCTGCGCAAGTCATTTCTAGCCACTTCTCCTCATCCCTTCTTTCTATCCATGACAGCAGCTTTAGCAGCCTTTTGGCCTCCTCCTTGTCCCCTGCTCGGAGCTGTGCCTGCCGCTCGAGCCAGACATCCCTGAACTCCTGCGTGATCCACGGTTTCTCCTGCTTCTCTTCTCCAAAGACCTTCTGGGCTGCCTTTCGCATTGCCTCCTGTATGTCTCCTTTTGTCCCCTCTACGGCTTCGTTGTAGGCTCTCCTCTGGTCCGGCGTTTCCCGGCCTGGCCTTGGTACCCTTACGGTTGGGTGCTTCTTCTTCCTCCTCCCGTACCACCCAAAAGCGTCTGTCCTCAGTGTTAGCTTCACCATCTTGTGGTCCGAGAAGCGTTTGTCTGTGTGCACTACCCTGCAATCCTGTTTCGTGGCTTTCAGGTTTACGCTGCACAAGCAGTGGTCTATCTGCTGCCACCTTGCTGCTCCCTTTGTTGTGTCTGGGTGCGCCCATGTTCCGTAACCGTGGTGCCCGTGTCTGAAGTAGCTTGCCATTGACTGTAGTCCGACCTCACAGGCGAAGCTCCTTAGGGACTCTGTGTTCTTGTTGGCCCTCTGGTTAACAGCCCTCCCGTGCCGCCCGGTGCATTCGCTTGGTCCTAGCGGTAGTCTTGCGTTGAAGTCTCCTAGTACCATCGACCTCGTTGTCCCTCTGAGAGCTCCTCTGATGTCCGAGTAGAAGGCCTCTGTCTTGTTGGCGTTCTCGTCTACTGCTGTGGGCGCGTATACGCTGATGCATCTTAGTGGCCTCCCCCCGGCTGGTGCCTTCAGGTCTAGGATGCATGCCCGCCCGCTCAACGCCTTCCAGTCAGCCACCAAGTGTTTTATCTCGTTGCGTATAGCCCACGACGCACCTGTTCGCCCTTTCCCCCCAGCGTGGTATAATGTCCAGCCTCCTACTTGTTCCTCGCATGTCTTGGGCTTGTTTGTTTCCGTGAGTGCAGCTAGCTGAATGCACTCGGCCTCTAGCTGTAGCAGGATCGACTTGAGTTTGACTTCACTCTCGTGCGCCTTCGCCGTGTTATGTATCGATCTAACGTTCCAACATCCAACTTCTAGTTTCTCGATCTTCATCTTGAGATTCTTTGGGAGCTAAGTTTGTCTTTTTACACAAGACGCCGAACCAGTTCGCAACGCTGATTTTCGTCTTGAAACCTACTTCGCTAGCATCTGCCTGCTGGCGCCGTAGGATTGTAGCAGCCTTCCTCGCTGCACTTCTCCTTCTTCTTTTGGTCTTCCACCATTTTTTCGTCGATCCATTCTTTACTTGGTTTCCTGCTAATAGAATGCCCTGTTGTTGTGCGGTTCTTCACTTGCTACTTGTTACTTCCTCTGACTTGTAGTCTAACCCCAGAGACTTTGCTCTTGGTACGCGGCCGCTTTGTCCGCTTTAACTTCCTGCTTTAGTTTCGCGTGCTACTTGTGAGGCCACTTTGTCCTCTTCTGTACAACAGGACGCGTCCCTGTACCAGGCCGCTCCTGTATTTGAGAGCTCTTTTAACATGCGGCCCTTTCGCCACTATAGTAGAAGTGCTTGGTCGTTGTTTCTCTACGAAAGAGCTTCGTGCTCGTTTTTCTCTTGTTGTAGTTCTGCTGTAGTTCCCCTCTCTGCTGCGGTAGCAGCACTTTCCCGTTACGTTTTTTTCTCGAGACCCGGCGGCTCCCTTCCGCTAGTGGCCCCGTTTGTTGGTCGCTTTCGGTCTTTTTCACTCGTGTCCTTTCGCTCTAGAACCCTTTTGCCGCCGCTGGCTCTACTTCCCTCGTCGCAGCTGCCTTCGGCACCGCTGTCTTTGTCCCTCTCGCCTCCAGCTCCCTGGCCCGCGAGCTCGCTCTTCTTGAGGTGAGCGAAGAGTGAGTCCCACCGCTTGTCGTCCTCCTCCCTCTTCTTGTCGTGGTCTATTTTCAGCTGCGACGCCACCGTGTGTAGTTCTGCTATCTCTTCGAACTGTTGGTCGTGCTGCTCCACCCTCTGCTCAAGGTCCGCCACCTTCTCCTCTAGTTTGTCCGTTTTTCCTTTGCCTTCTGCTCTTAGATCTTTGATCTCCCTCGACAGAGCCTGCACTTGTTCTTTTAGGTCTTCCAGTCCCTCTACCTCCTTTTCGCGTTCCTCTAGCAGCTGCAGTCTGCCGTCTAGAGACTTCAGTCTCCTCTTCTCGTTTGCTCGTTGCTTCTCCGCCCTGGCCTGCTGCGCAGACACGGTGCCCCCGCTCCAACTTAGTAGTATGGGACCCTTCAGCCCGTGCTTCACCTTGCCACCTACTATCGTTTCTCCCTGGAGAGCGCAGTTGCCGTCTGTGCTCTCCTTCACGTGGATGAAGTATGTCTGAAGCTGTTGCTCCCCTTCGTCTTCTGCTTCGCGCTCCGTTGTTTTGTCTCCTCCTAGTGGTGTTGCTAGTCCAAAGCCGCGTCCTATGTCGAACCACTTGACTTTGAAGTGTTTCTTTCCTCCTTCTAACTCCTCCACCTCCATGTCCGCTTGCTCCCCGTCATTGAGGAGCAGGACGCTCTTTCCCCTCGATGTGTGAGAGCTACTAGTGGCCGAGGTGGAAGTTGTCTCGTGCTCCCTTCTCTGTGGCCCAGAGGCTGTTGTCTGCTTCCTCCCTTTTGAGTTGCTTCTCGCTGTCTGCCTTTCCTTTTCCTTCAGCCTTACGCTGGAAGCAGTGCTAGTTGTTCTGCCCTTGGCTGGTCCAGGTGGCATTTTGGCCTGCTTCTCGGTTCCCTCCTTTGAAAGGATGCGGCGCGGTCGGGGAGCTAGCTGTAGGCTGAGGAGGAAGAAGAAGAAGAAGAAGATGGGGAGCCGAAAACTTAGAGGTTGCGCTTGGTAGTTGTTCTTACACTCTTCTGCTACGCCACTGCTCGTACTGTTTTTGATTTTCTCTCGCGAAGCGCCACTGATCGTATTGCTCTTGATGCTCCCTCGCAAAACAGATGAGGTCAGCGTAGTTCGGGGCGTCTCTTCTGGGGCTCCTGCTGCGAAAGCGGGATGTCCCAGTATTGCTCGTTGTTGTGCTGCCTGTCACTCCTGTTGATAGTGTTGCAGAGGAGGATGAGGAAGAAGAAGAAGAAGAAGATGAAAAGGAAGAAGAGGAAAAGGGGGATGCGGCGGTCTTATCTCTGCTAAGGGTTAAGAGCTGCTTTATCTTAGCCGTCAGCAGAAGCGCTTTCTTCCCCTGTACTTGTAGGTGGTTCTTCTTCGGCCAGTAGGTGCAGGAGGCTTCGTGCTGTAGTCCTGCTTCGTCTTTGAAGGTGTAAGTGGTTCTCCTTCCGTTATTTTCTATCTCCTCCCACTTAACTTCGCTGCCAGCTAAGATTTCAACAATTTCTTTAGCTTGCTCAAATGTCATCTCGATTCCCATCTTGTCTTGTCATATTCTGATGATGTTAAGCAGTTGACGGGGAACGACAGGCGTGCTGTTTGTAGTGCGCTGGGGGTCTCTTTTGACTAGATTAGTTGTAGGATGAGCGAGCCCCGAGCCGTATGCCTCTTTCTAGCCTCTCGTTTGATTGCCCTTGAGGTCTTGCTTTTTCTTTTGGGTCTTTAAATTGGGCAAGCTCCGTGGCTCTGACACTAGTGGCTGATGCCCGTTGTTGTTCGTTGTGTTTGGACCCCCAACTTTCTCAAAGATGCGACCGCTGTGTTTAACAGGAGCGCCTTATTCTGATGATTCTAAATATTGCTCGCTCGTTCTCCTTGGCGACTTATAGCGCTACGTACTGTTTTTCGATGCGTTCCGGGCTTCGTTGACTGGCTTTGGGTTATACTGGCTGCCGCTCAATGTCGCCGTGTAACCAGTGCAGAGATATGTGTGAAGAGCAAGCTGAGCAATTGACAAGACGGCTGACGGAACGGCTGACGATGGTGTTGCATTTGTTGATCCTTTGGCTCACTTTCCTTTCTACCGATTTGTTGTTTCTGCACAAGTAGGAGAACGACTCCTACTTGTTACTTATACCTTTCGAATGCGTAAAATTGGTCTTCGTATCTTTTTAGTAAGTAAATATATGCAACTACCATGTGGCTTTCTAACTACTAGTGGTAACAGGAGTTATCTACTTTCGATAACAAGTAGCAAGTGCTTAAAGGTTGCAACATAATTTCATTTTTTGGTAGCAATCTCAAGTCGAGAAGGCTGGTAAAAATGAAATGTTTCAACCCTTAAAGTGCTGTAATACATGATGAATCGATTTTTTTACTCCTCCTAGTTCTAGAATCTTTAATAATACTTTTCTACTCTTTCGACTTCTATCGCTCCGTATCTATGAGAGTCGTGTGGAGATGCACGCCGGTCATGGCCTCCGTGAACGACCATCAAGGTTGTCGACTCCTGACCTATTCATGCCCATTTATTTTGGGCTTGGAACCAAATTTCACAGTCATACATGATGTTTTCCATCTGCATCTTCATGGAAGGGTGGCTTTACACTACAGTGGCCATCTTATGCAGCTTTAGTAATATGGCTTTACAAAGTGGTCGATCGTGTGTCGATCGTGTTGATGTCGTATCGACACGATCTCTCGAAATACATACTTATGTCCTTCATTTATCCGAATGCGAATACCATTGTAATTTATAAATTTCTGGTATGAGTTTGACTATGATGATGATGTTACTCTTACTTGATTCGATTGGACACACGACGAAGACTCCTCTGAATACGAATAAATTTATGCTATACTTGCATCTACTTTTGGGTGTTGTTTAAGTCTAACTGATGCCTAGCTATCCTATGAGTGTCTATGTTTGTGTGGATAGGAACTATGGGGGCTGCTTATGCCTATGATGTTTGAGTTTGTATACCGTGGATGGGGCTACCTATAGAGCTTATTTGGAAATTTATGCTACTTCTTATGTTGTTAAAGCTAGCGTAGCTCTCAACACTTCTTTTTACATGATATGATGCTACCTAATTAGTCCATGATCAACATGGCCAACCTCACTTTTTCAAGGTACCGTAATCGCTAGCAAACGGTCGCCGGGCAAAACCATTTCGAGTCTGAATTTTTGTAGAAACAGGTGAATAAGGCATACGAACGAACAAGAAGTGTTAGCTGTTAGTGTTACTCACACGAAATAATAAGACTTCAATTCGTTCTCTAAAAAGTGCAAGGAATACTCCAGAGCACCTGAAGGCTCTGCTCTGTACTGACTAAACACAAATGTATAAATGATTGAAAACTAAAAGTGTAGTACCTCTTCGTCTTCCAAACTTGATGCTTCTGAAGAGGATGTGGCACCACCAGCTGACGTCGAACTCGAAGAAGCAGAGCTTTTTTTTTGCCTCTTGGTGCCCTCTGCGAGTGCGGCGATTTTCTCGGTATTTCTTAGAAGATGGTGGAAGAACATCAAACTCAAAAGCACTGTAACGACTCTGTTACAAAAAAACTCAAAAAAACTCACTGTAAACTCAAAAGCACGATACGCGATTCTCTGTAGTGCTAGTAGACTAGTATCTATTGTCACTATATTCACTGATGACCTATGAATAACTACGATGCTATCGTGACCCTACAAGTACAAACTACTCCACAGTTACTAATTCAAACAAATTCTATGAAAAAAACAAAATACTCTGACACGACAGTGATAAATATGTGAAAGGAATCGGGCCAGCAACGCCTAAACTAGTAAGCTAGTACCTGTTTACCTATCACAATAGTCTCGAGCATAGGCATTACTAGTCTCGAGCATTAGTCTCTGACTGACCTGTTTACCTATGATCACAATCTACGCATACTAGGCATTACTAGTCTCGAGCATTAGTGTCCTCTCAACAAGCTCAACAAGCTCAGTTGTAATAAAGGTGTTTTATACTTACTTATTCGCGGCCTTAAAGTTGGAGACATCGCTTTCGTCCTCCTGTCCTCCTGGTCGTCCTGTCCTCCTGTCGTCGTGGGTACCACCAGTGAAGGTTTTACATGCAGTGGTTTTACATCCGGTTTTGTTGCCAAAACATAGTGGAAAGACTGAGGCCCTCGCAGAGACAAATTCCAAACCGTCTGCCACATTGGGCAGAGGCAATACATGACCATATTCGCCTGCCCAAACACATTGATCTCGTAAAAGACCTGTGAGTCGTGTCTCTTGGTGTCTTCAAAAGAGACTCCCTCGAAGTGTTATGCTTATCTTGTTCCCAGAAGCAAGTATACTATAAATCTATGATGCTGCTCCAGTAATTATGGCAGAGTTGTAAGTAAGTAGTTGTAGCACCTCCAAATAGAGCATCCACGACTTCCCTGCAGTAAGTTTCTGTGACAGCGGCACAACCGTTTCATTTCCCCACTTAGCGCGCTTCATGATCTCTGGCTTTGCCGGTTTAGAGTGGGACCAAGAAAAAATTGTGTCATCTTAGGTTAGGTTAGGTGTGGGCCTACCAGGAAAACTGGCAGACATGAGTGGCTGCTGAAGAGCCATGATGTCATGTTCGTGGTTGTTGGTTGTGATGTTCACGTACTAGAACTTCACAGTTTAACTGTTGTGAACATGGTACAAGAACAACGCATCTATGAATTTGCCGTGTATTGCATAAAAATGGGAACAACTACGTGTCGTTGTATATTTCCTTCCGCGACGTGCTGGTTGACAACGACACCATATTTGACCCCTTCTTGCTCTTCTTCCGTTTCATCCTTTTCCTCTCCTGCACGATCTTCGTCCGGCGTAGAGAGGAAATACAGGGGGCAGTATCTGGTCGTGGAGTGAGGGAGCAGGTGGATACGATAGGATCATAGGACAGGACGATAGGAGTGGGCTCACCTGCAAGGAACTCATAGGAGTGGGCTCACCTGCAAGGAACTCATAGGAGTGGGCTCACCTGCAAGGAGATCATAGGAGTGGGCGCACCTGCAAGGAGATGAGGATCACTGTTCGGGGCCATTATAAAGTAGATTGGAAATTGAATATTCCAAAGAGTTCTATGTATAATTCTAGTACTAATTCTACCAAAATAAAATCTCCAGAAGCACGTACAGTCCTTCTTTCGAATCTTATTTGAGATTATCAGTTTTAGACCAAGGGCCTCGATTTATTTTGTTCGGAAAAGGTACTATAGATCTTTTGAGCAGATTATAATAGAATCTAGTACAGGCCTTCTTTCGAATCTTTTATTTGAGCAGATTATAATACAATCGAGTACAGGCCTTCTTTGGAATCTTTGAGACCGATGCGGTTGACGAACCCCACGAGAATATACGTGATAGGCGTTCCGAATTCAACCAGAATGCACATCAGATTCAGCGCTGGCGAATCGGCTCTCATGTGACTGAGTGTTTCCCAGGCCGCAAAGAAGGAGGCTTTAGAAGATTTGGGATAAGGGAAGGGAGTAGAGAGATATCGATATGAGGATAGGGAGTATTCTATTCTGTGCATCCCAAATAGGTATGCAGCACCTACCGGCGGGATGAATCGATGTGACAAGATTCCACAGACAAGTAGAACTTGTAAACCAACGAGGATAGTGGAGCATCTTCATATAGGATATTCTCTATAGATAGATCTTCTATAGGATACTTATGCGGATAGAGGAAGAGATACTTAGAGACAGTAGAGGATACCTACATGAGAGTTGTTAGGACATCTTATATGAAGAGCAACTAGAAGAGGATAGAGCTGCCAACTTAGGATCGACAGGGTAGGGTCATACTTATGCTATGAAGAAAAAAGACTTGAAGTAGTTAAGAAGCAGAAAGACATGAAATGCGTCATTGAAGTAGTTGAGAGGTTTCTTGCCTTTCAGTAGACATAACTTCACGGGCGGCAGGGGAGAGGAGCATTACAACTGGTAGCAGCATGAAAGTGAGCACCACTATCATCTCCTGGATGCAGCTCAGAATATACAACGTCCCGTATTTTGTGATAAGAATTAGAGAAAGAGGGAGAGGAGAAGATATATTCCTGATCCTGTCTACTGACGAGCAGGTAAATACGAAGAATGTCTACTATAATGTTGTCGATGTCCCGTAATATGCATCTTAGTTAATGCATCTTGTTATTAATTGCCTCTCGCTACTTCATGATTTCTTTACATTCCGAAGTTACAAGTACACTTAGTTATCAAGAATATCACCCTTAAAAACAAGAGACACTGGAAATGCGCAGACCATGGCAGGGGCTCGTAACTCGTGCAGCAGATGTTGAAGTACTGCAACAGGAAGTAGGCATACTGATGCACAGCCTGCATGTCGCGCTTGCTCTGGAGGAACCTGAGTTCCGAGTGAGTGAGTGAGTGAGTGAGTGAGTGAGTGAGTGTCTATGTGTGAGGAAAAACATTTTTGTTCAACAAGCGGCTACTCTGCAGGACGCTGGAGAGAAAAAGTTGTTGTGTTTGCGTCGCGACCGCGAGACAGAGAGTGTGTGATCTTCATCGATGCAAGCATCCTACGTGATAGATTCAAGTGTACTAGTAGATGTACCTAGACCTGCTCCTACTGGATTATCTAATAAGTTGTGGTGGAGCTGTCCTGACTAGGAAAAGACACAACAAAGGACTAAGCATCTAGCACCAAGGAAAAGAATACAGAACTGGATTATCTTTACTTCTATAGTAAATAAGGTATGTCTGAGAAAAAATACCTCGCACGTACGGTACTATCGCCGTCGGCAGCCACAAAAGCGCTTACCGGAGTGTACAGAGGGGTAATCTTGAACTTCGATGGCGATCGCACTTTACATGAAGAAGGAGAAAGAATGATGGCCATGACTCATGGACTAGGCTAGGCTAGGTTAGGTTAGGAGGTTCGGTTTACCTTTACGTATTCATTCATTGATTCATTAATTCATTTACCTAGCAAGAGGTTACCAGAAGATGCGGACAAAAGGTCAGAGCCACAACTGTAGACGGTGATCCACTAGGAGAAGGGGGAGACCAGCTACAAACTATTTAGGTACTTGTTAATTAAGTACACTTAGTACTAGTAGGAGCACGACAATCTTCAGTTCTTCGTCTTTCAGCTTTTCTCACTTTATAAGTATTAGTATCTATTAGAAGTACTTCTAGAATGCAAGTTGGATTACCACAACTTCAACTCCCCACTACTCATCGTCATAGAAGTACTAGAAAAAAACAACTTCAACATCTACTACTTCTCACTTATCACATTCACACTCTTCTACTGCTCACTTATCACACTCATAAACTTCGATCTTCTCCAGCCAAACTCTCCCAATGCGAAGCGTAGAAAGCTTTGAACGTCATATGGTGATCCTCGCAGACCTCCTCCTCTGACCACCCGTCCACAGCAGGGTGACTCAGTAAAGCCAACGTCATCGTAAAGGTGTTCGATGTACAATGAGGCACGTGGGGTATGAAAGAGGACAAAGGAGATTTGAATTGTTCTATCTTGAGGTGTGGAAAAGTTTCAGGACAAGGAGAAAGAGCTTGGGGTGGATAAGGAGAGGACGGCCACAACTTGAATCTCTGCTCAGCACACTTGTAAAAGTAAATATTTCAACATCATCAATCACTGCCACTCTATGTCACGACCTCGTCATCTACTTTTTCAACATAAAAGGAGAAGCACTGCATCCGCTGATCTCGTTCATGTTATTTCCGTAAACGCTGGGCCGAACAATCCTTGGAACCACAGCCCAATTACGCCATTGCTATAATAAGAAGTATTGAGAACGAGAAAGTTGTTGAAAAGTCTAGGAAACTAATCTTCGAAGCTCCTGCCTGTGACAAACATTATGATAGATTTGATAAGTCATTCTTGCATGAAGAGATACGAGGGAGGAAGCTTGCTGAGGACATTGAAAATTTGAATTGAAGGAATGGAAGCCTAATACGTCTAGATTCATTGATTGATGAAGTAAAAGTCAAACTGATTTGAAATTGAAATTGTTTCTTTGTTGAGAGTACGAGTACGTAGTAAAAAAAAACTCAAACAACAAACCCAATTTCTAATATAAGTAATTCAAATCAAAAGTATATGGAGTAACACCATGCCAAAAGCGAACATAGAAAAGGGGTCTTTTAGCCAAGAGACCACTTGTCTATGTTCGCTTTTGGCATAGTGTTACTCCATAAAAAAGCACTTAGTACCAACACAGGCGCTTGCCATGCTGTCCAGCACCGATCTTCTGGCTTCATTTGCATGGCGTTCAGAGTAAGATTCGCGAAGTGTTCCTTGTGAAAAATCGTATCTGTATCCATTTGTGTAACGAAGACCTTTGACGCGTCAAACTGAGTGATACTGATTCCTCCTTCTGTGGTTAGAAACTCAAGGGGGAACCATGAAAAATTCTGTACAAGAACTGTTACAACTTCTCTACATAATTTATCATCATATCACGTAGTTCGATTGGTACACGGAAAAAACTTCTGTAGTTCGTAACTCACTCGTATTTGTCTACTGTAGCTTTTGTATATTTGTGGTGGAGCCGACCTAACTAGAAAAGAGACAGACCAGACAGAGGAAGATATATAAGAGAAGGTGTAAGTTCAACATAGTCTCGCTCTGCCTTTATTCCAGCCCCTCTCCATTCAACAACTACAACATGAACATGGTAAATATCTGCTTCATCATAAGTGTTCGGCGTCTGTCTTCACATAGTCTGCGTGCCATCTTTGGATATCTCGGAAGGCCCACTGCGCACAGGCTCCTTTACCTCTAACTTCACCAGGCAAGTCAGGAGGGTGATGGATTAGGAGAGGTTTGTAGTGGGGGATAAGACGAAACCTTGTTGACTTTGTAGTGGGAGAGAAGTGCAAGAGGAAGATACAATGCAACGAATCTGCTCGCAGAAAGTCCAAGGCAGACTGCCGGCGCATCAAAGAAGGCGTAGATAGATGATGATACAAAAGATGACGATGATGATGATGATGATTGTACCTAGGCAGTAGGTTCCCAGAGAAGGACTTTATCTCTAGATTCAATTTGAATTTGTAGCCTTAAATAAGTGGCGAACATGTCGAGAAAGAGAGCGCCGTGCTTCGCGATCAACCGCTCTGCCACTTCTCGGTCCTCGTCAGCTTCTCGTTCCTCCATCGCCAAAAATTAGAGGTTTCAAGAAAAATCATTGGACTTGTTCCGTTTCTCGTGCTCGTCTCATCTAAAATGAATCCATAGCAAGTACCGGCATACTCTGTTTTGAATTGTTCCGGTATTTTTGGTATAGCCTGAATTTGATCCTAAGGGAAAACAAGAAGAGAACTCTTAGGATCAAATTCAGGTTACCAAATACCAGAACCATACATCCGTTCATTCTTGTGCTAGCCTTAAAATACGCAAACCATGTACTTGGACATCGTGCTGTTGCCCAGATTCGCTATCGTTTGGGACAACAATCCTTCTGGAGATTGATTCTCATTCGTGATCAACACAAAATGCAACAGACCTTCATCAACCACGGGGTTGGCTTCCAGATACTCTTCCCATTCTCTGCTCCAATTTTTGGCACAGGCCTTTCTGATTCTGTAGAGGCCGACGGCTGAAAATACTCCCATGTAAGAGAGAAACCCAAGCATCCAACATGACGTACCTAGAAATAGGGCAAATTAGAACCGAAACTCTTACTTTTAATATGCGTGTACTGTACGTAGTCCTCTTCTGTAATTGTTGTAGAGCCCTAACTAAGAAAAAAGAAACACGAAGAGAATGACGTAATCAAGGTGAGAAATTTATAGTATACTGTACTGGTTTAGTTTATGGACCCTGCACATGATCGAGCGCAACCGGTAGTCCCTGCTCGACTTCATTTCTTGTTTTAGATTTAGGTACACTTACATCCTCGATTAAGTATTCCTACAACTTTCTAGTGCTTGAACCAGCCATAACAGACAAACGTAGTCTTGTCCCAAAGCCACGAGTAGGCAAATGTACCGGTAATCGTAAGCACAATCGAAATTAGAAGAGCTACCGCGCTCGCATGATGATCATCCTTGACGAGAGTCATGTCATTTCTTGGCGTGAGTGAATGAATAAATGTGCCCAGCTGGAGGTGTTTGCAGTGCCTTACATAAAAGGTCTTTAATTTTCTTTATGGCTTTGTTTTTTGCCTACTTATATATTTTTTGACTTTCTTTTGCTATAATGAGGATAGCAGCGAAATGGGGTCTTCTTTTCTGTGATGAGGATCGCAAGCGAGAAAAAATCAAAAAAACTTGCAAGTAGAAAATGAAGAACCAAGGTGGGATCATTCATCGTGTGCTCCATCGCAACCAACATGCTTCAGCGGTAGCCTTAATGATAGCGGGATATGGGCAACAAATCTGGATGCCCGATCTGTATTTCCCAGAGAGACATGTCGTCCACGAGCTCGATCAAGGTCGAGATCGATCTCGCAAGCCGAACCCTCCCGATGCTTAGAACTACGCGACAGATGGATCCATCTTCTTCTTCTTCGGATTCAGCGTCGATCATGATCTTGGTTCTGGTTCATATTTCTTCCCTGTGGAGGAAGAACGGAAGGACCAACATAGTTACTTAGACCGACGCTGGGGACGAAGACGATGGATTTCTTTTAGCCTTAACATGATCGGTGTTGATGTCCGATACGCTAGAAACTGCGCGCTCTGATGTCGAGGAGATCGTGGCATGCCTTTTGTGCTGCTCAGGAGCATTTTTAGATATAGAAGATGCTTAGCCCGCTTCTTTTGTTAATCTCGGTCTTGGTCCCCTCATGATCTCGGAGTTCCCTATACTAGTGGGGGAGCCAACCTAACTAGGAAAAGACCGAAAAAACCAAAAAGTGAAGGTACAAATTTATAGGCCAAAAAAAACCATATTATCGGAGTTTCCTTTAATAATATTTCTCTTGTTTGTGGTAGTTGTGATCTTCTATGTTGGGAACTGCGAAAGAATGCAACTAGTACTAGTGCCAAAGAGTACATCAGAGTGATTACCATAAGAGTCCTGGCCCTGGCTCTTTCTTGGTCCTCCAAGAAGCTGGGCAGAAAAACGGCCCGCACGATGAGAGAAGAAGTGTAGTAAGCGAGTCCGAAGCCGGCAGGCAAAGATTAGAAAAGGAAGAAGAAGGACTGGGACGTCAGCCTCTGTTACTGATGCTCATATTCCTGTGACTGAGACTGTCAATGCATATATATAAAATTCCTGTTCGCGTAGGCCTTCGTAATTGCCAGACTCTCTTCCACAACGTTTTTGTTGATCTTGTGCTTACCATCAACACTTACTTTGCTCGTAGTTGACTTGTCGTCAACTTTTCGAGTACGTAGTAGCCTTTTGCTGCAGAAAATTATAGCGTACGTATTGTTCCTATAATTCCTATGCTAGAATCTTGCACTCTCTTCTGCCTTAACAATGAATTGCGACCTCGTGGCCGAGGTAAACACGTCCATCGTACCACCAAGCCGCGGCCATCAACACAGCACACACAGTTCCAGCCATGTTCTTCGGATTCTCTTAGACAATCTTCACTTTGCCTGGTTGACGTTCTTGAGTGGGTGTGACTGCTTTTAAAAAGTGGGTTCCACCGTAGTTTGTAGTTCCTTCTACAGTTGGCTTGTTATTCTTCATTCATCCTTAGTTATATACTTACATCGGCTCCACTTAGGCTTGCTGTATTCAACACATAAGGAGAATAAGCCCTTCTCGAGTTGATCCCCTCATCATACACACTAACAGTTACATCAGCCACATAGGTGGAGGATAGTTGTCATAGTCATGCGCCCTGATCATTCCCCTCAGCATACATAGTCGGTCCCCATGGGAAGGATAGTGGTTGCCTAGCGGCCGTAATTTTCTTTGTAATTTCCACCAAACACGTTATTCCAACTGCTGCTCAGAAACATGATCACAGTGCTCGAAATCGCAAGGAACTGCAAAAATGCGAAAAAACTTCGCCGCCGTGTCAAATTCAACGCATCCCCTGACTTCGATCCGAAGATCACGAGACACAGGAGCAAGTTAGAAGCAGTGCGTGAAGTTTACAGTCAGCACTTCTCCCGTAGCAGGTCTAGGAGAAAACAAAACGACTAAGACTAAAAAACGGCACTCACAGAACCTACAACACCAAAAACAGCAAATCCAACCTCCTCTTAATCAAGGTACACAGCAAGGTGACAGTAAGGGCGACGCCAACGAAATAGGTCATCGGAAACCGGCTCCATCCAGTTTGGCAGAAAAACGGATACAGAATCACCAGCGAGACGGATACGCACAAAGTTGCGCACAAGGAGCACAATTCCAGCATGACTTAGACGATCTCTATAGATAAAGTCTCTCATAGAGAAGAACGGTCCCTCCAGGCAGATGACGTCGTGAATATTTCGAATCAAGTAAAAATAGTATAGATGATGAATTCAAATTATGTAAATTGATAGGATGATGAACGGACTAGACAGCGATGGATCAGTTTGTTAGGATGAATTCAAAAGTAAATATATGTACTTCAGTAAAACATCAACTCAAGCCTTAAACAATGCCACCAATCTGACCAGGGGTGTGCGGGGAAGCAAGCAAAAGCAGGATCCAAGTCGTGCTCATCATCAGTGCTGCAAACAACGGTGTAGGAGTGAGGTACATGTACCCCACCGGTGTGCCTCGCCTGTTAGAAAAGCTGTGGGAAATACGATGGTGCATCTTTTCAACTAGCTACAAAATCAAGTAGAAGGATCGCTCTGAGTTTAGCATAACAGGAGCTCCAATTCCTCCAACAGCTTTCATGATCTGCGGGAAGTAGCTTCGGATGAGTGGCGAAGCCAAAACGATCGGTAAGAATAAACCCAATGTCAACGCACCCAGAATCTTCACGCATACTCGAAAATAACCGCCAAATTGATACCAGTCCTCTTCGGTTTTTTTGCCAGCACCGAAAACAAGATTTAGAGATTGAATTTTGGACTAGTTGTATTTCTGATGTAGATCAGGTAGTCGATAACGATATCTCTTTCAGTCGCATGCCAGGATTGATAAAGACAAGGAGGACGCGTGCATTATGTATTAATACTAGTACTTATTTACCGTACTAATAGTACTACCTTTATTTTTAGCTAGGTGTGGAGAAGTTGCTTTACCTGCTCCGCTGACAGGAGTATTCGAAATTATTTATACAACAACAACTTTTCCTTCTATTTGTAATCTCTCCTGTACACAAACTAGCTTCACCAGGGAGTCAACATTCTTACGTAACAAGTACGACCTTTGGCCTTGTTCTTGCTTCGATTCTATTAGTCTCATAAGAGGCTTCTTCCAAATGCGTGTTCGAGAATGCGAACTTTGGTGCTTGGGAGTTCCAGTTCTTCTTTCACCGATTTCGGAAGTGTCAGGAACCAACCTCCGTCATTGCCTCTGTAATGCTTCACAATGATGTCATGCTCCACCACCTCCTCTTTTTTAACGTGTATGAAAAGAAAAAGTGATGTACTTACTCATACTCAACATACTCAGGAACTACAAGAAAAGATCAAGATGCAGTCTCCTACCTAGAAAAGGAGCCTTTTCTCTTCTCCTACTTAGAAAAGTTTTTCCCTTTCTCTTCGCGTATATTAACATGAGAAGTATGAGTAACTTTTTCCCTGTGGTCTTCATAAGGAGGTGCTTGTTGATATTATTCTTGTTCTTGACTCCTTTGCGAAAGGCTTTCATGAAAGAAGAAGAAGAAGAAGAAGAAGAAGAAGAAGAAGAAGTAAATAGAGGGGAGGGGGACATAGAAATAATCATAGGCATTGGACGAGTACCTTCTTTCTACTCACATAGAAGCATTTTCCTCATTGCTCGTCCGTCTGTATTTTTCGTGTTGTGGTTTCATCTTTCGTCCTTTGTCGTTTCTACTATGTTGTAGGCGGAGATTCACTTGAGCGACATGATGCAGTTCAAGTTCTTCATCAAAACAATAAGAATAAAGCCCGCAAAAAATATCAATTTTTTAGTCCCGATCTGTAATTGTTCTCATAAATTTCGGAGGTCCTCCCAATACCGTGAGAATCATTGGTTTTTCATCACTCTTGTGGCCGTGGGAGTCTTTGTTCTTGGTGGTAGAAGAAGTGCCCGCAGTCGTCGTGCTAACCAATTGGATCGCACGTGGTCCATAAGCTGCATGCGGACTCTTATAGATTCCGTCAATGTCATAGGCAGAAATCTCCTTCACACCGACAGAAAAAGCCAAAGCCAATACTCCTGCTGTAACTACACTTGCTGTTTTGAAGAGGCCAACAGCACGGCGGCAACCATCTTGGCCTCGGGCTCGGAGGCCATGTGCTGAAGAAGTCTTCATCTTCTTGATTCATGCATTCACTCATTCACTCACCCATTCATTACTCGCGAAAGTTCTGCGTTGACTTTTTTTTTGCGGGTCAGGACTATAACTATATGCCACCGCCCTTTCAAACAATTAATTAACTCGTTCAACTAATGCCATACAAGTTACGTACTGGGGGCGCATAAGACCGCACATTCGGCCACAAATCTACACCTATCGGAGAAGCCGTACATTCACGTGGGCCTTGTGGACTTTGGTATAGAAGAACCACTAGAACAAGTGGATCTGGATCAGGTCGATATGTTCATGTTGATAAGTGTAGGCTGAACGGATTGAGCTAGGGATGTACATACGCAGATATGTAGATAAGTGTAGGCTGAACAGATTGAGCTAGGGATGTACATATGCAGATATGTAGATAAGTGTAGGCTGAACGGATTGAGCTAGGGATGTACATATGCAGATATGTAGATAAGTGGAGGCTGAACGGATTGAGCTAGGGATGTACATATGCAGATATGTAGATAAGTGGAGGCTGAACGGATTGAACAAGTTGGGCACAACTACACGACTATATGAAGAAGAAGAGCAGGAAGAGTTCTTGGAGAGGCCGTTTTGAACATGAAATTTACAGGTACAACTAGTTCTATCTACCTCTACGTCATATACATAGGTTTTGTCGGATGGTAGTCGAGTACTATGCAATCTATTAAAAAACTATCAAAGAGTACTATGCAATCTATTAAAAAACTATCAAAGTACGAAGATAATTGACCAAGTTCAAGTACTACGGGTTCCACGTGGATCTTCGTGATGAGGATTGAGGAATTCTCTGGTATTCTTGATCGATCAGAGAGTCCTCAGTCGTGACCCATCAAAATCAATACTACTTGTACTTAACCGACAACTTTAAAAGCATAGAGACCGATGTACTTGTGCTGCCATCGTGCGACAGGAACAGAATGTAGAGACCGATACTAATACTAGAGCCGAAAGCAGAGTACGAGTACTTAGACCGATTGTACTTGAAAGCGACGGTACAACAGTGTTGTATTATGACTACTTGTTCAAGACAGACACTATGACTACTTACCTGATTTTATCGCCCGATTTTTGTAGTGCAATCATTCATGCTCGCTTCTAGGAAAGTGATATCATGATGCATGAACACAGTAACGACTGACTCCGAGCTCGATCCCATTTTCATTTTGAGAATCAAAATTAAATCTGCGATCAATCTAAGTGGTTGGCGGTTCATCTTCGTAGTAGTATTTTTCCATATAACGATCAACTATGCCAGCAGTAATGAATTCGAATGAGCGCGTTTCACCATGGATGGGAAAGTTCATCTTGTTCCTTTTTTTTTTCAACAAGAAAGCGTAACAAAGAACGAGTCTGAGTGGATTCTCATCTTCTAGTATCAGAAGTAGATCATCATGATCACTACATATGACTCTTCCTCACGCGCCCATCGCAGCTTGATGCTTCCACTTCGCTCTTAGCATCATGATCTCGTTCACCAGATAGGCCGCTTCGAATTCCGTTTTGAAGCTGCCTCCAATTAGACGAGGCTCGTCTTCGTTGGGGAAAGAATAAATACGTATCACAGACATTCATGATGTTGATGGAGTTACTATTACTTACGACCTTTACTTGAAACAAATTGGTGAAACGACCTAAACAACAAGAAGTGTGGAATCCTGTACGTTAGTACATGGAAAGAGGAGAAAAGCCTTGGAAATTTAACAGATTTAGAAGTAGAAGACAACCTCCCTACTCACTGTCGCTGAGCTACACGCACACTTAAATAAGCATGTCGTCGTGGCCATAAGAGACAAAATCTATGTTCCACTTTTGCCAGTGCGTCCATCACTTGCTTTCTTTGCTCTAAGTTTTGAAAAGTCAGCTTCGCAAATCGAGCGTGCAGCTCCGGAAGTAGAGACTGGAGATTGCCGAAGGTTAGACAGGGGCCGAGGTGGTGGAGAGAGCGTAGGGAGGTTTGAGGCCTTTCAACCTAAACGTGAACAAAGTAGACTCATTGATCATGAGAGCAGAAAAAAGTGAATAAAACACTACGGAAAAGCTATTATATCAATTGCTGCAGGCGCAGCCGCTACCGCTCCTTTTTGCACTAGAACTAGATGAACATGCCGAGATATCGGAATCAGCTACTTACCCGCCCACCCTTCCTAGCGGCCCGCTTGGGCGATTAATTCACCACGAAGAGAGAAAATACAGAGGCGCAAGGCCAGCGCCAAGACGAACAGCGAAGCAGCTGTAGCAACATGAACAAGAACAACAACACACCAAAGGCAGGCCCCCGCTCTACCGCCCACGCAGTCCGAGGGAATGAAGCGCATGGAAACGAACCCGGCGAAGCGAAGAGCCCAAGGAGCTCCGATCTGCTATAGTCATTATTTAACAACAACGCCAAGCAGCCAGGCCAGCGAATCGCTGCGAGCTGGCTCAGCAAAACAGCGCGGGGCATCATTATCCGCAAAGCACGGCACTGCCTATGGCGTTGGGAAGTCCGGCGCGTGTCGTTAAGTTTCATACCCTAGAAGCCTACAGGCCACCTCCCTCTCGCGCAGCGCGGTGACAGTCTTGCGCAAGTAGCTGGTCCCCGTTAGCTAGTCAGTCACTGGCAAACAATTCTGCCACGAAAGACCAAGCACTCTCTCCGCCCCTCCATTTGCCTCCAGGCTTTGCCATACACGTCGAGACGCTGGGGCCCCTTCTGCTGGGCGCCAGTCCGCAGCGCCTGCGCGGAGTCCGTAACCGCGTCCGCCAGTTCCGGCGAAACGCCCGCGCCCCCAGTCTCTGCCAGGTCTACGATCTTCATGCCCTCCGCAATCTCCTCAGCCTTCACCCCCAGGCTGGCGGGCTTTTGATTGGGTTCCGCCCTTCGCTTCTCCCATGATCGGAAGGAGCAGGGAGCCGCGGCGCCTTTGCTCATTCTTGAAGCAGTCGAAACGAATGAAGAAAAAGAGGGGCCACGCGCTTTGTCGAGTTTGCCAGCTCTTGCCCCAGCTCCGCGCGACGGCACTCCCACCGTCGGCTGTAGGGCGCCACGGCTCACCTGCTCGCTGGCGACGCCATTGTCCGACGAGAGAAGAACAAGGCGCAAGAAATGAAAGAGAGAAAAAACGCCGCCACTTCGCTGGACTGCCTTGCGCCTAAATGGCTAAGGAAAGAGCGAGCCCTTTTGCCCTCCCAACTCGTCATTCCAACGAACGATGGAGCAACAGTATCAAAAATTAAAATAACGCGTCATAATTTCTGTGAGCAAAGCGAGCGCACGAGGTCGTCTGGGTCGCCGGTGTAGGTCAGCAACTGCCTTACAACGTGATCCACCTCTGATGGCGTGCATAGGCCCAGTGATCTGTAAATTTCGTCTTCCGTTATCTTTACTGGTGACGCCACAGGACGAGATTTGTTGTCGCTACCGGTGCACGAATTCGCGGTCGTTGTACTCGTGCTCTGTTTCGCCCTCTCCAGTATCACCAAAGATTGAAGCATATTCAGGACTTTTCGCAAGTCACCTTTGGAACATTTCTGAAGAGCTTGAATGGCAAGTTCATCACACTTGATTTTTTCGTGTTCCGCTACCTTTCGGACACAAGCAACAGTATGCTCTTCGGGAAGGACGGAGAACCTTGGAGGTGCAGGAGGGCGATAGCGCTTGTATTCTTGTTTGTAGGGAAGAAGAACTTGAATCTGAACTTGATCATGAGCAAAGAAACAGAATAATTCACCAAACAAGAAGATTTTTACACTGAACAAAGGAACCTTTTACTTCTTTTGAGACAGTATAACAAAATAAGTACCTAAAACTCGTGCATCTGCTCACTAGTGCTGGGATAATTTTGTGCGCGAAATTGCAGATGATAATGAACCGCACGCTGTTGGCGTACTGCTCGATCATCCTTCTCAACGCAAACTGAGCTGTGTTTATCATGCTATCGGCTTCATCTAGGACAACAACTTTGAACTGTCGCCGGATCGAAGCATGCTCTGGATCTTGACCGGAGAAAGTGAAGGAACCTGATAGATCATACGTTGAAGTACTTGGGAAGAATTTTGGAATACCAACTACTAGGAAGGCTCATTTTTTTCCGAAGCAGAAGATTCAGGTGGGAGACTGCTTTTGCTTATAGATACGGACAAAAATGCAAAATGATGATATCAGTCAGTGTCAAGGAGTGTTGCAGTTGCTGCGCCCCAAAGTATATTACCTATACCAGACTAATTTATAAGGTTTGCCCGCTCGCATGGCATGGAGTGCATGGATCGCATGGAGCTGTGTGGAGCTAAAGGGGGCGCCTCTTGCGTCCCTTAGAGATCTGCGCTCCATGCACTCCATGCTACTCCATGCACCATGCATGTATAGTATACATAGATACCATGTGTCAGACCTGCAAGAAAACGACAACATCGCGTTATTAGTACTAGTTGTACCAAAACTCGTCGTCTGTGAGAAGTTCTTGACTTCGTTTCGGATCACGTTTATGCCTCTATCATCTGAGGCGTTCAGTTCCAAAGTGCTCAGCTTGTACTCATCCTTGCCAAAAATCTGTTTGCAGATCGCTACTGCCGTTGTCGTCTTCCCGGTTCCAGCGGGTCCGTGGAGTATTAGATGAGCAAGCGCTTTCAGTTTCATTCATCTCGTCGACCCCTTTCGCTTTCCCATAAAGTAGACGGGAACTAGAGGGTAGCGAGGAGATGCTGAGAAAGATGGATAAAAGCTGACCTTAAGAATAGGAGATTCGGTAGTTGATTGGTCTTCAAAAAACGACGGATAGTGGACAGTATCTCCTCATGTCCGTGTATCTTTTCCAGATTGTCTGGCCTGTACTTCTCGACCCATGGCACTACCCCGTCTTTATACGCGAGCTCTCCTCCTCCATTAGCTCCAAGTGAGGTGGATGCTGTTGCAGGAGTCGTTGAACCAAGTGGCGCTGAGGTGGTCAACTGACCAGAAGAAGGCGGTGCTAGAGGCATCTGAAACATCTTTTTTGGTCTTTCTTGGTGTAAAAAAGAGTGTGACAAACTAAGCGGTTCTAGTTGCTTCAAAAAAAAGTGCGCGGTCTATCTAAATGAAATCTTCTAGTTGTCACTAGTAGAAGTAGTGGATCTGATGATCCTCTAGTAAGTAGTAGTTGTGCCAGGATCAATGGCGATGCCTAGAACATCAATACTAAGGCCAGAGATAATCGAATGTGAATGAAGACAGTGTCCACCTATAGATACAATATATTGCAAAGACAGGCAAATAACAAGGTCCTCAGATAATTCGGGAAAAACTGTTGTCTACTAGTACTAGTGGTACCAGAAGTGGAATATTACGGATCTTCGCTTGAGACAAATGCCTGTAGCTTTCGGTGAGAATAAAAGGATCATCGGTTCTTTCTCATCATCTCCCACAGCTACAGAAGGTAGATGTCTCTACTGCAGAAGTCACTGGGGTCACCGCAACTACATAATTCGGAGTCGGACGAATTGATCATACAACGAAAGATGAGAAAGGACAACAACACTAACCATGCTTTTCAAAATTTGCTCCTTTGCTTTTTGCAAGGGTGCCAGCCACTCCCTCTGCTCAACTCAGAAGAGGACATGACTCCTCAATACTATGCCAGTCAATTCAATTCAATCCATGGGCGCGACTCCGTCTCCCCGTGAATGGGCGTAGTCGACGAAAGCCACAAAGAACGGCACACCAGATGGCCACACATTCATTATATTGTATGTAAGAAATTGAAATTGTTAAAATCGACATCACTTCTGAACAACAGAATGCATGCCAAGAGATCATTGGCATCAATCGCAAAATAAAATAATCGCAATGTTCAAAAAAAAATAATGCTTGGTGATCTTTCCCACCATGAACAGCATCGGGCCTATGTACTAGCTACTAGAACGACAAAATCTCAAGTCAACAAGGCCTGGTCAACGATTCTGCCTAAGCGGTATTTTTCGTTTACTATGGTCCTCCGAATGAAGTCCCTCAATTTTTCGCTATCTGCTTCGCGCAATAGCTCTCTTTCTTCCGAGATGATATCCGCGTCTGCGCGCAGCAGGAGATTAACCATATGCCCGTTGTCCGAGCGAATTGCCCAACGTAAAGAGGATGTTTGATAAAAAAAATTCGGGTCTGCGCCGGCAATGGTTAGAGGAGGACCTGGTGGGACCACTACTTGCTTCTTCCTTGTCCGCCTCGCCTTCCTCCTCCTTCTCGCTGTGTTACTTTGCTGGGATCATCAAGAGTGTCTTAATATTTAACCTCAACAAATCATACCAAAAATGAAAGTATCCTAAAAAGAGCAAAGGCGGGCTTCTCTGAGAAAAAATCTCTGAGAAAAAATCATCCGCGGGGGAGACGAAGCTGGGTGGGAGACTTCCGGGACAGAGGAGGACCTGGTGGAGGCAATGGTTAGAGGAGGACCTGGTTGTTGTAGATGTGTTTGTCTCATAAAATCAACAATTGTTTCACCACGCGTTCCGAGTTATTCGCCACCGCATAGACAAGAGGCGCTTCCAATTGCCTAGAAGCAGGTTTTCTAGCAAACAGACTCTCTGTTGGTTTTGGTGGTACAACCACTTTATAGTTCGGATCCGCTTGAGACGACAACAGTTTTGCAATAACGTCCGAGGCAAAATTGCTTTGCGTCGCAAGAGACAGAATGCGGCCGTCGTTCAGTTCGACGATTAGATGAAGTGCTGGTAGGACCACAGGAAATCACGACTTGATTCTAAACTGAAAAAAAGTTACTAGAGCCGTTGTGCTCGCTGGGAAAAAGATGCGTTGTTTGTTTTCCCGCCGGATTTCTTTGTGCTCTGTGTGTGTAGTGCTATGGTGGTCATTGCGATCGACTATGGTATGTCCGGATATAATGAAATGAAACATCGACTACCCATTCAATCTGTGCACATTCCGCGTTTCATCGGGGCAGCAGCAGAAGCTGCATTTCGAATGCTCCTACATCAACTCCTCAACCATAACTTCTGCAACATCGCTGCTCCCCCCCATTTCTCAGGAATCGCTAGAAAGTAGCGCAACAAATCAGGCTTATCCTCTTTGCAACAGATGGATAGAAGGGTATCGCCTTGCAAATCCTTGTGATTGAGGTCGTTCAAATGTGTGACGCTCTCTTTGACCATCCGAATGTTGTTTTCGCGCACAAAGGAAAAAAGTATTTTGCACAGAAAAGATACAAAATCAGCATGTTGCATGCTAATTTAGAGCTCAAAACGATTCACTCATCTCTCTCTCGTCTCATTTGAAGATACAGCTAGCAGAAGTATCTATTAGAAATGAGACTTGTTGTAGAATTAGAAATGAGAAATGAATTGTATTTTTGAGCCTTAATTGCTGCGAGATCCGGTACCGCTTCCAGAAGAAGGGTTGTATATTCCAGTTGAAGATGCAGAAGCAGGGTATATTCCAATTCCAGATGATACTTGACCTCCGCCTCCAGACGTTGAGGTTGAAGCTCCTCCACCAATGGCAGGGAAACGTGATATGAACGGCGGGAAGAAGTTGTCGTTGTGGAAGGAAAAGGAATAAAATTTTAGATGCTGCTTCAAGAACGTGAACGTAGCAATCGGTTCAGACACAACTTCTAAGCATCTACTCAACAAAGCAACGGTGAGTGACAGCAAAATAAAACGGTACGTACTAGTGCTTGTGATAAATATAAAAGTTGTCCTTTAAACTGAAACATGGTGCTCTAAAAATGTTGATCTTGATACGTGCTTTGTCATACCTCCACCACCCAATCCTCTGACTCCACTTGCACTCCTAGGTCGCGTGCTCGCACCTCCGAATCGCACTTTCGCTGCCGTCGCGCTGCCATCGCCCGAATAGCTGTCGCGTTCTACACGCTGTGTTTCCCACGTCTGCAGTTTTGTAGGCACTGGTGCCCATTTGCCAAAATCCAGGTCGTTGATTAGAGATGGATGCTTTATCCTCAAAAGAAGAAACACACACACACAGAGAACTTCATCGGAGTTAAGTAGTACTTAATAACCCATTCCCATCTTCTTACCTCTAGTAGAGTCTACTGCTGTTGGTCCTAGTGGCATTTATTACACAGAAGCAGTTGTACTAGTAGTACACATACGAAACCAAATTCTAGAAAACACCACGATGCACATGCAGAGAACATCATAACTTCTCCACTAACCGTCCCTGGTGCTGGTCTACGAGCTCTGTTTGGGTCATCTTATCCTGCGAAACTTTGAGCTTCACATAGTCGCTGTACATCTGCTTGTTCTCCTGCGACAAACCTTCGTTTTTCTTGGTGATGGTTTTCAGGAGTAACTCCTTTTCGCGGATGATGTTAGAGCTGGCAGGCTCAGGACGATCTCGTGGTCGTTCATTTTGGCTACGTGCAACTAATACATAACAGGTCTCCACAACACATTGTTCTCAAAAATTCCTACTTGTTTAGGTAGACCAGAATGAATGAGATTCAGTCCAACCATTACCATATGCAAAAGGAAATGCGTCTTCATTGAACATATAGACCGCCATAGCATTGGACTCCACACGTTGCTCCTTGCGCATCAACAACTCGTATTTTTCTTGCAACCGTAGAAACTCTGAGGCAATCCAGAATCGCTCGAAGCGCTCTTTGCACAGTTTGTGATTGGTTGAAAATGTTAGAAAAGGTCGTTAAGGCTTCGTAAGTATTTCCATGACGAAATCTCTACCAGATGAGAAATTTCTTGTCAAGTATTGCCAACGCGACGAATTCTCTACTAGATGAGAAATTGCTTGTCTAATATTGCCAATACGACGCTGCTTTCTCACAGCCAGCGCAGTAGTAGCTGCGGCTGCAATTCTATTTTCATATCAGTCGAAAACGAGATTGTTGTAGACAACCCCCACCATTCATCTCGACATTCTCATGATGAAGATCATCTCGAAGGCCATAAATTGAATTTTTTCGTGTACTCAGCTCGCAACGCTTCTGTTTCGTCCAGCTTGACTACTTTTTGTTTTAGTGCACGCTCCGCCATGGCACGTCCGCTTTCCTCGACACGGAGTAGAACTTAGATCAAAGGGGCGGGCTCTCTTTTTGGAGTTGCTTGTTGTTGTAGCGCTGGTGGGGTGTCGTTGCGGAGGTACTAGGGATGCTTGTTGTCCTTTGTGTTTTATATTTTTTTGATCAGTATGCGCCTTTACTCACTATAAATATTGCTTGTTCCTACAACTCGTAACTAAGGATAGTCAGTAGTTGAAGTCTCGAAAAAGTCCCTGCAAGAACGGGCCCTCCTAGATCCCCTTACTCGGCTATTTCAGTTTATCGAATAGTACTTAAGGAACCTAGCTGAATTCTTCTGGACGAGATAAGAAAATCTATCAGATTCTCACTCATACGCTGTGTCTCCTCTAGTTGTCTCCGCGATTGCGTATATGCGTGTAGCAAGCTAGCAAAGTCGTCCAACAAATTATCCTCACCAGCAAAGACGGATCCGAAACGAACTTTGTTGTTCTTGAGCTCCCCCTTTGACTTGGTTCGTGCGCCACGGGTTTTAGAAGATCATGTTGCTACTTTTGAAGAGTATTCGAAAAACTGAAATAACCGAGTAATTACTTGAAATAAGCACAGTTAAACCTGAACAAGGAAGAGTAGCCCTGTCAAACCTACTTACCTCCCTTATTTCAGTCACTTACTCGGTTATTTTCAGTTTTCGAGTAGTCAAATAAAGTGCTTTTTGTAGGTCCTCTAGGTGTAGAAGTGTGTCGCGGATGCTGTTGTATCGGAAAAAAGCCAACAGCACCTTGGTGGAGTTGAATTAACCCCTCTTGCCAGGCCCTCTTGCCATACCAGTGATTTCTTGCAATATGGTTTTGCTCAAGACCATTTCTGCGACTGACAGAGGCTTCGGATTCTCCTCAGTGCGGCGTGTGAGAACGCCTCCAGCACTAGGCTTGGAAAAGCGTCTGGCAGCTTCTAGCCAACCACTCGCCTTCGGAGCCACCTTCGGTGGTCGAGTTTCGTCCGTTCTACTTGGGTCTTTCGTTGGACTTGTTTGGCTAGTAGCGAGGCTGTTACTCGTAGAAGTGGACGTAGAAGCACTGCTTGTCGAAGGAGCGACTGTCTCTCCTTTACTTTCTTCTCCGTCAGCATACTGCATGGCCATTCGGAGTGCAGGATCAAGGTTGGCGTTAGAAGATTCGAGCGAGAACCAGAAGAGTCTTCAAACATGCGCGTACGCATCTCAGATGGAAATCATACTTCTTCTTCTGCGCACAGGAGTATGGACGAGCATGCAATTCCTTGCACGTAAATGTAAAAGATATCCTTTTAAACAAACTTAATACTCTACAACAGCAGGAGAGTAAGAGCAAGAGCATTAACGACCGCAACCGCAAGCCCAACTACTGAACTACACCCTTCATAGCATTAATCCTCTTTTCTTCTGCTTCTTGTGCCGCTTTTCTATCCTTCTCATTTGCGACGGAGACAGCCGCTTGCACCACTGACTCAAAGTACGGGAAATATCGTTTCTCGATTTCCCTGCGCCACCCATCCGCATCGGATCCAGTTCCTTTCGGCGGGGATTACAAAGGGAACACTACGTGGTCAAAGTCGTAGAAATCTTACTGGAAACTTCAAAAAAAAAAAATGATTTTCGGCCTGAAACGAATTGAAATTTTTTTTCAGTAATTGAGATTGTTTTTCATTTTTTCTTTATTGAAATAAGCCTTTTTATTTGTGTACGATAATAATCACATGGAATATTATACTTGAGTTGATATTCGCCTTGTCGGATCCAGTTCCTTTCGGCGGGGATGCGTTTTGCACTAGGTTGCTCAATCCTCCACCTGCTCCCCTGTGGTCATCGGTAAGTAAGACTCCATCTGATGACGTTGTTGTAACATTAGAGCTGTTAGGCACAGAGGAGTTTCTGAGACGGAGAGAGAGCGAGCGGGGAGGGTTTCTGAGACGGAGAGAGAGCGAGCGGGAGGAGGTGTGTTCTCTGAGACATCGTAGTGCCTATGCTGAGAAGTCGTTCAGTCTAAAAGTCTGGCCCTGCGACTCCTGTAAGATGAATCTTGTTTCTCTTCGACTTCGTTGTCGTGCAATGAGTGAATGAATGTACCCACTCCTGCGGGGGTAAAGATAAAGAAGGCCACCACAATGACTGCTAGTTGATATCTAAGTCTCTATCTCCATAACCTTTTTCACTGGCCACAAAGTGCCATCCTGTTCATTCGGGTTTTTTACGTAAGAGGCAATAATGCCACGTCTGACTTGGAAAAACATGGACTCGATGTCACGATCCACTGACGGCGCGCGCAGCTCTGGCATCGGAATTGGCATTTTGAAGATTTTGTCGGAAGATCAAGATCGTTTTTGTACTTGTACCACTACAACTAGATGTCTAAAAATTTATCAAGCAGTCTGGCGCTGTGTTTTTTAGAAGAGCTTCGTAAGAAAGTGGACTGTACGAGAACGAAATACGCAGAGTTGTACTTAGTTGGAGTCCTCCGGGAATATATACCTCTCACTAATCATAAAGTCTGGTAGCGTGCGGTCCTCCTTAGAAAAATAGCAGAACCTTTACCTCAAGCTAGCCTTTACCTCAAGCTCAACCTTTTTTTACCCCTATCTAATTTGTTGGAAAAAATAGAAGGTACTTCATCGATCCAGTTCCTTGTTCTCAGCGATGTGCAGACTTCTTCCAGCCCGAGCCCTCCTTTTGTCTCTCTCTGTCTTCATGATATTCTCTCCCGCTCGCCTCAATTTGAAAAGGGTTTTTGCAATGTAACCGCTGACGCTGACGCCTAGTTCTAGCACTGGCCTCATTTGTCAACTTTCTTGCGTACTTTGAGAAAAGCCGCAACAAGTACAGGATCCATCGTTTTCACAAAGGCTAGCAGAAAAGTGAATCCAACATACATCACAGCTATAATCGCACCTGGCACAAAGGCAGACTTTCGCAGTACTGCAATATGCTTAGCCATGCACAAAACGAGCAGAAGTGGATTATGTACACACACAGCATCGTGAGCATGATCATTTCTGGTTTTCTGGCTCTTGCGTGCTGCTTCCCTTATTTTTGCCACAGGCGCACTATCATGTGCGACTATAAGAAGCGAAGATGTGTGCGTGTCGTAGAATTACTACAGTCCTACTGGCAGGAGGTAGCCAAGTCCCGTGCCACTTGTGTGCTCTATGTAGTTGCCACATCTTGGCCTGCGCATGATTCTAGGACGCCTGATATCTATTTTGTTGATGGAGTCAAGCTGTCGCTTACAGTGAAGGGGCCTCGTCGTCTCTGCTAAAAAGAGAAAACTAATTACTTCGTAAAATATCCCGGGTAGGTGGTTGGTTATTGTACCACTTGACTCAAAGGCCGGCCCTGCACACGAAAGGTGGCCAGCCTATGACTTCAGTGGTATCATTGTAGGAGGTCACTGATAATTGGAGTCGTGCCATATTTGGGCACGCTCCTATTTTCTCAAGTCTCTCCACTTTGATACTCTTATCCCTGTGGTGTCTCGTTCTCGTTATGGTGAGCAGAGTACTTTTTTCACTCGGACTCAGACAGAGATGGTAGACTTTGCCGCCATAAGTCCCCTCCTACTCTGTTCCGCCATGAGAACGTTGGAAAGTATTTAGTTACTTACTTCTTGATTTGTAGTGCCTTGTTTTCTAATACGCGGAAAGTTGATGAATTTGTTCTACTATCTTTTTTGCTTCGCTTAGTTAAGGAAAGTTTTCAGCGATTTACTGCAGGACGGCCGTGTTTACTTTCTTCACCACTTACTTCGGAACTCAGTGCCTGTTTTTCTCTGTGAGACATTCAGCGTCTTCATTCCTTATTTTACTCTTGCAGCCTTTTGGCCTTTCTATTACTTAGCAAATGAGTGCTCGACCTTCGTACTTTAATTACTTACTTCCGTGCGCTTCATGCTAATTCCTCATCTTGTGCAACGAGATAAGTCCCACTGTTCTCTTCGTACGCGGTTGCTATTAATACTAGTGCTATCCCTTGCCGCTTTTCCTGTTTTTTTCCTTAATAAATTGTAGCTTTAAGTGTAGTAAATTGGAGCGTCTATGAATATTTATGCAATTGAATTCGTAGCCGTTGACGCTGCAGCGTTCGCGTTGTTGTATGTCCTTTACTAATGCTATTACAATGCAGAACTAGAACAATTATGAAGAGGGCTGACTAGATTGATGAAGCTGCACTAGAAGAGGACAATACTCCTCCACTTCCTCTACTCGTTTACGTGTACTAGCAGTCAGCGAAAGAGATAGAGAAATAGTGCTGTTGGTCCTCCGACAAAAAATGTAACATAGAACAAGATGAGACCAGCGAGCTCGACACTATCCCGCCACGTCCACGGATCGCCGTCGTCCTCCCTCAGCGTCGCTTTATTAGATCCTCCCCCTGATGGTCCCTAGTGCGAAAATTTGGCACAATTTGGCCAGAAATTTGGATGAGAGAGAGTCCGTCTCGTTTTTTTTTTCGTCGCGGCAGTTCATTGCTCTACCGAGGTATGCTCTGCGGATCGGGATGCATGTCGAAAGCCTTCGCGAATGTCCGGCACCCCCGTGGCCCTGGATTTTTAATAAATGATTCGCAACAAGCATCACAAGGGGGCGGAAGCTGCAAGAGCAAGCTGGAACAGGCAGGCGGGAAAAGAAAAGTGGATTAATACAGAGACAAAGAGCAGAAAAATGGACGAGCCACGACCCTGCTCAAGTTCGCCGAAGGCTCACGCGTTTGTATAGTCATGCGCGAAGTGGGTGCCTCCAGCGTTCTTTTTCATTTCATTTGCGCGCGCGTGGAATTATCCATCGGCGCGAGTGTTGCAGATTGGGAGCTGCGGGCGCTGGGTCTTCCTTCTGCAGCTGGATGGGCGGGATTGTGGCAGACACGGGGGGCACGCAGCCGATAACAAACGAAAAGTAGAGGCCCTCAGCCGGAACTCCCTGAGGCGGTACGAGCGAGGCCGAGCCGCTTCGCCAGCAGATTCTCGCTCAGGTGGAAGCGCAGCAGCCACAAGATCAAGAATTAGCAGCACTCGCCCCGACTCCAGTTTTGCAGATTGTCAACGGTCAGCCGAGCCCCGGGACCGCGCGGGCGGCTCCACGTCCGCAGCTGTTTGCCAGCTAACCCTCGCTGTGCTTCTGTTTTTGCGTGCGCGTAAATCGCTCGCATTCTTGGCCGCGCTACTGCAGCAGTCAGGCTCGTCACTCCTCAGACAATTCTCCTTAGATCCTAGCCAACTGAGACCGAAAGCCTCGACAGCGTCCTGCCGGTCGCAAGACTTGGGGACATTGGAGCACAGGCTTTTCACAATCTCAAGCGGCGTGCTCTGTCATCAGAAATTTTTGCAGATTTTGCATTTTTCGCAAAATTTCCAGCCAAATTGTGCCAAGCTTTCAGGTATAGAATCAATCACCCCCATCCGTATGCGCCAGAGCTTCGACGGCCTGCAGAGTGCTCTCGCCTCCTTCTACTTGTGTCGCAGACAGCGCGGAGGACGTCGCAATGAATGAAGAGGTGGCCTGGCTGCGATACCAAGTGCTTGCGTCACTTTGAAAGAACAGACGCGCAAGACGGTCATAAACGCCCGCCACTCCGCAATGCTCACAGCAAGAATTGTTAGAAATAGATGACGAAAGGCCTAAAATTGAAGACGTTCGCACATTTTTACAGCGTACTAGAATCCAAATCCATTGAACAAGTTACAAACTCATAGTCCTATGGGCTTCCATCTGAATCTTTCACCTTCTACTTGCTGCTGGTCTCCGTCTCGGCCTGTAAATGTATTGACTAGATGATACTCGCGACGAGATTAGCCGTAAGAGAACTAGCGCTGCTCCCGTCCTCACTCACCGCAGTATTGACCAAATGCGGCGTCTGCGCTTTCATGTCTTGCTGGATGGCCATTTCCGTTTTTGAAAGGCCCGTCACCGTTGCTTCATCGTGCTACTTAGAAGGGTGAGAGTCTACTGGCTTGCCTCGCGCTCGCTCCAAAGTATCTACTAGATGGTGGAGGAGATACTGAATGGATTACGAAAGAACACGACTAGAAGGACTGGGCGGCCACTCATGTTGTTGCTGAGTTGTTCTCCCTTCTGTGTTTCACTTGGTGCGGTGGCGTAGCCCCTGCTAACTTATCACGCCTAGAAGAAGTTCCTGCTGTAGTTGCCCCAAGCTTCTTCTACAGTAGTACGAAGATAAGAAAAAGAAACACAAGTAGTCGCTGAAGCAGTAGGTCGATGCTTTATTTATTGAGAGTGAGGATTTGAACTGCTTACCACGGTGAAGAGCCTCACTGACTCAACAACAGTGAGAGAAATTGAGATCAGCGCCAACGCCATAACCCCCCCGACTTCTGTTGTTCCTCGTTTTCCTTCATTGAAGTCATTCAAGGCTCCACTGGTGAGCCTGGCATAGATGCGACGAGAGTCAGCCGCCCCTGTGGGAAAAAACAGCACAGCACTTCTCTGCGCCACTGTTTGCGCCCCCTCCGCAATCAAATCTCGGACCTTTGGCAAGAATTTAGAGTCGTAGAAAACTAAGACTACTACCTAGGCAAAGACAATGGGGACAAGAATCATGGCAATCCAAACTGGGAACGGGAAGGGCCTCACGCCTAACTTCTAGAGCCAATGATCGAGGAGGCCTTAAGAAGGAGGCTGCAGCTCTCTTGCAGTTGCTTCGACGTGACGCCACTCTTGCTCTTGGAAGACCGTCGAAGCAGCCACAAAATCGGACGCGTCATAAATGCTTTGCTATTGCCACCGTTTTGGGCCACGTCCTCGCAGAACTTCTCTTAGAGCAGCGTGGCGAAGGTTGTACGCCATTGGTTGCGGTGAACTATGGCCGCTTCAGCGTATTGCTTCAGCAACACGTTATTTTATATACAAAGCAAAATCTTCCTAGAGCAGTGCTAGAATCCAACCAGCATGCATCTATAGCGCATTGCTAAAGTAACGCGCTAGGCCTGTTATATGGGTAATGTAATAACTCATAGGGGCGCCAGATCCAGGACGGGATGGACCGGATGGGCTTCCCATCATGTCAAGTAGGATCCTCGGAAGACTTAGAGGGGCCCACCCGATCCATCTAAGCCCACCCTACTTCCGCTCTACAAATTATTCTAGAATAACAATAAGCTAAGTCAGTCACAAGCCACAAGCTCAAAGCGCTACACCACAAGCTCAAACTGCGTGCTTCAAATCAAGTCACAAGCTCAGGCACAACGATAGACACCACAGACCCGGGCGAGCCCAATGCCTTTCATCGAGGACGTGGGAGGGGAGGCCCAGTGGTAAATGACAGAAAGTGCGCACTTCGACCCTGAGAAGATGAGTAGAGTTCGCTGAACAAAATTTCAGAAAATCGATAGGAATAATGCCTCTACCCCGGGAAGCCTTAATTTTGCAGCATGTTTGGAATCTTCATAGTTAGACCGAGCGAGAAGGCCACTCTGAGGCCATTTCTTGCGCTGTACATAGGCGGGAGCGGCTTCACCACTGGCTTCGTACTTTTGGAGGACTTTGAGAGCGCAAGAAGTCGCTTATACTCGTCCAAGATATGTGACCACTGCACGGGGCCGGCCTTGCTCTCGATGACATCAGTGTACTCCTCTGGGAATTAGTAGAGCGCCTACAAGTCGCGCCAGTTGTCTATACCTATCGTGTATGTATATGGAGACGATCTACCTAGAAAAGTGCCATTAGCTACTTTCCCTATTTGGAGTTCTTGGGGTAACAGTTCGGCGCGATGAATATCGTAGACATCCCCTGTGAGTAATGCTTCTACATATCCCGCCAGAATTCACACAAGAGGTAGAAGAGAGGGATGGCGCCGCCATTCTTCACGCCCTTCTGTTCCCTTTGAGAGCCGATAAGCAAAAACTACCACGCTGCGCGTGGGGTGGTCGTCTCTAGCAGTAGCAGTAGCAGTGTGCCCAGCCACGGGGCTGGGATATAGGCAAGCTTAGCTAGGTTCCTGCCTTAGTTCTTGCCTTAAGGTAACGCATGAAAATCCACAGCCTGCGTCTCCGGCGTGTACGATGTGAGCCAGTTCACACCGTTGTAGCGCAAGAAAGATTAGACGAGAAAGCCCCCTCCTATGAACAGACAAACTAGAAAAGGCAGCAAAGAAGAACCTGCCTGCTTCGTGCGGTCGATGAAATGCCTACAGCGTTCGAAATATTTTCGAACGGCTTGGCGAATACTTTCGAACGGTTCGGGAATGGTTCTGAAAGTTCGAATTTGGAAGAGGTTCGGCTCATTCGAAAAAAGCCGCTATTTTTTGCAAAAGAGTCGCGCTTTTTTCAAACGTGGCTACCCTTGCGCGAAAGGGTTGGGCCTTCCGGTGTCGAAGTGTTCGAAAACGCTGCAGCAAACTTTTCGAACGCTGTAGGCCAAAAGTAAGCTCCGAGCAACTAGATTGCTCCCCCCGCAGCGAAGCATCAAGAAACGCCTCATAGCAATGATAATGCTGGGCAGACCCTAGCAAGCTAGGGTCTAAACGAGCAACCAAGGCGGGGATGACGAAAAACGGAAACGCACGAGAGTCCCAGGCGGTAATCTTCTAAGGGTAAGACACAGCTGCTCAGCTATATATTCAGCTACCTACTCGCTTGCTTCAAGACTTCGAACGCACATGCCAGAAGCATTAGCAAGTGCCTTCTTCTCTCTCGTCCCATCATAAACATAGGCACCCACTGCGAGGCTTTTAACGCACGCGCCCTCGCTGAGGCCGAGCCACCTTGTCATCGAGTCCCACTTTTTCCTGAGCGAATACTTCTCGAATTGACACAGTTCGCTGATTAGAGCGCAAAGCAGTCACGCCACTGCGCTTGTTCGTTCCTGAAGACATTTGCTCAGAACAGTCCTAAGATGATGACGAAGAAGATGAGTGACGCCTTTACTTCTCCCAATCCTAGGGCTGGGAAGGAGGTCGGGAGCGAGATGGAATGCCTCGTATTGTAAAACTGAACTAGACCTACGTAGTTGAGCCTTAATCGGAGCGCAGCCTTCTCCCTCGGGTTGGCCGTCGAGAGCATCTGCACCGATTCCAAATTCTTAGAAGTTATGGCTATTACAAGAAAGAAAAGTCTTCCCTTTCATTAAGAAGACGAGGATTGATAAACATAGTTTTTACTTTGGTGCGCCGTCCGCACTAGAGGAGCTCAAGACCGGCGACAACTCAAGACGGCCGACTCAATTCAAGCTACTCTACTCAGAAGAAATGCCCACTGTGTGAAAGGTGAAGGGCATGGGAACAAAAAAGGCAAAAAGCAGGGAGCTATAAGTAGGGGCGTTCAGAGCTTAGTGCTTGCCCTGGGACATCTTCACAGCTGCATCATGGAGTTCTTGCAACAAAAGTAATACGTAGGAAAGTTTATAGCCTCTCCAGAATTGGATCGGTGGGCACGCTTGCCACGCTGGGCCGCTGGGCGGCCCAAAAGTGGGCTATCTGCCAAAGATGTCGCCCACCGCGCGCCCACCGTGAGACTTTGTGCCAAAAATCGGGGCGCCCTTCGGGCGCCTATTTCTGAAGCCCCCCTGCATAGTAAGCGCATGCGCCCTGGATCCGCAGCAAGCTGCATACGAATCGGGGCGCCAACCTACTGGCCCGCCTGGGAATATCCCTCAGCAGCACTGGCCGCGCATTGCAGCAGAGCACTGAGGCCCATTGCAGCGCTGCGCCGCACTCTTCTCTACACACCCAGGCGGCACTGCAGACAGCAGCGAAGCACCGCAAGCAGCGAGAACGTGGCCGCTCCGCGAAGAAGCACAGCGCCGCGCTGCCCTCGACTGCGGCCCTGTACATTGGCAGAAGCAGCGGGCCAACGCTATACGCGCCCAGCGTGCGCCCACCGTGCCCCTCATGTGTGCCAAGGGTCCGCCCACCGTGCCAAGCGTGGCCGCCCAGCGGCCCAGCGTCGCCCACCGTGCCCACCTTCCCACCGTCTATAAACTATTCTATAATAGTAATAGCAAACAAGTGCTGCATACTATACTACTGCCACTACTACCGGCGATAGCTATACTAACTCACTCGCAGAGGGGTCGCACCTACTTGATACGCCTCTACTGATTCAGCAGAGTCAGAGAGTCAGAGTGAGCGTAGTGTCGTAAGTTCATCTGAAGCACAGCCACAAAAACTGGAACCCTTCCCACAAGGCGGCTCTTCTTGAAGAAAAACTGCAGACCCACGCAGGTTAGGCGGCTTGATGTCGTTCACCTTGCTGCTCTTGTCATTTTCCATCTCTACCTTCGAGCCCTCATCTCTCAAGCTGGGCGACTTGGCCTGCGTGTCATTTCGGCGAAAAATCAAAGAACCACGCAGGCGAGGCGAATTCGTCCTGGCGTTGTGTTCCTCGCTGTTCGTGATGCTTGTCGAGATAGAATTAGGCGAAGAAGCTGGTAGTGGTCAGTTCTGTTGTAAACGTACTAGGGGAGGGCTCACCTATAATATCTATCGACTATGTCACCCCGTGCTATTCATTGTAAAAGTGGTCGCGGTTGTAGTGTCACTCAGTACTAACTGTAGCAGCAAACTGCCGCACTATTTTTACTAGGCTGCACGCCCCTGGGCCCTGCCTCGTCTTGTTGGGCTATATTCTAGAGGCTGAAACTCTTGGCGACAAATTTCCTAACGTGATGCAAGTCCTTGCCCTCGGTTCCTACTTGGTAGAGATAGGCGCCTCTCATTAGAGAAGTCGCGTCCTATGATCTGATACACAACTACGAAGCACCCTATTGAATCGAGAGAAGAAAGCCGCCCATAATTCCAGCCGTTTCCGCTTGGCTGTCAATGGCCAAAGACCGCGCGGGGGCATCATGCTGAGCACCCTGCTGGAGACCAAGGACGAACACACGCTGCGGCCCCTGCACCTGCTGAACCCAGAGGAGGGCAGCTGAACCAAAAGCGGCAGAACCGCGCTGGATATTCAGTACTTGTCTGGACGACGCGGCTTTTCTGGGAAGATGCGCTCTGCTGCTGGTTCTTTTTACCTAGTGCATATTGTTGGCGATTTCTAGACTCGCTGGCGTTGGAAACGACAAGATGGGGATACTTCAATCCAAGCAACAAACTCAAAACTCCACAACACCTAGAGCTATCCTCATCTTTCAACGGCTCTAGCCGATAACTGGCTGAGTGAGTGATTAATTGAGTGAGTGAGTGAGTGAGTGGGGGAATGCGTCTAGCATGAGGAGAGGTATTGCAGGATATTTTCCATCAACAAGTACCGTGCCATTTCTAAGAGCAGAACTGCGGCGGGCCGCTTGTTTGGCGGCCGCTTCCGCTTGCTTGGCTTCGGATTCAAGACACTGACGCGCATGCGCCCTGGTCCTTTTGGCCTATATTGCGTCGTGAGAAATGATCTATAGTGTCGCAAGTAGCACTAATGGTCGATCTATACAGTCATAGTCCTAGTAGTCAAGTTAGTGCTAGATGTGACGTAGTCATAGTAGTCGAAGTCGAGTTAAAAAAATAATAACAGTAGTAGTCGAGTTAATAGTGATAGCAGTCGACTTAGAATTAATGGATGCGATCCAGGGCGCCGGGCGACGGTGCCCTCCCTAGCGCAAGGGGGGAACCGTGCAGCCCCAGGCCCCTTTTGCAGGCGTCTGCCGGGGGTGAGAGGCCTCAAAAGGGGCCCCCGGGGCCTTCTCCACTCCCTTCCAGCTACCGAGCATCAACCTGGCTGGACCCTACAGGCCTCCGAGGTAGGTGGAAGGAAGGCTTACTTCGAATAATTAAAGGGGCCCAAGCAAGGTAAGGACCGCCTCCACGCCCTCCCGGCAGCCTGCCTGTGCCCTACATGCCTCCGGTATGCTTCGTCGCCACAGCAGTGCCGGCGCCGGCGCCAAGTGTGGAAGGCCTCCGAAGGCGGCAAAAGGCGAGGGGCTGGACCCCCTGAGCCGTGCAGCCTGTGCCCTCCGGGCCCTTGGTCATCGGCTTGCTTGCTCTTGGGGCCGTGGCTGCCTTCAGCGGCTTCTTACCCCGGAGGCCTCCAGCCTGCGAGGATCAGCAAAGGGGACCGAGGTCCCTGCTGCAGAGAGGCGCAAGGGGACACCCACGCCCAGTTTTGACGCCTTCCACCAATAGCATCCGCGAAAATCAATGCGGAAAAGAGCGCGCGAGCGCCACCACAGAGAGACCACACCACAAGAAGGGGGGGCACCGTGCAGCCCCAAAACATATAAAATAAAAAGCATTTGCCCATCCTTATTCTTCTATGGCGGACCCTCCCCCCCTTGCGCCCCCCTTTGGCTTTGGGCCGTTACGCTGACCCTTATCAGCCTTAGGCCACCCCCTTGCAATACCCTTCAGGGCCCTCATGATACCCTTGCGCCCCCCCTTATGACTTCGCCCCCCTTTGATTGTGAGCCCGTTACGCGTCGCGCTTTTCGTGGCTTTCTAATCGCTCGAAGCATAGGCCCCCCGCCCGCTTCGAGCCGGAAGGCAAGCAGCGACAAGCCTGCAAACCGTGTGTGGCCCTTCCTGTTCCGGGTTCTCTCCGAATTGTGAAGAGGGCCGACCCAATGCAACCAGGCAGACCAGGCCTCCAACTTACTTAGGCCGCCCACGAGCTACAACCCAAAGAGACAGCACCTTCTACCAAGGCAGGCGGACTGGAACACTTGCGGGCTATGGCTGCGTCTTGAATGATTAAGCAGGCACCCGAGTAGCCGGCCCAAGCCTGGCCAAATTTGGAGGGACGTCGGCGCGAGGCCTGAGGTGGTCAGACGCCAGCCCCGTGTGGGTTTAGCGCCGTGCCACCAGACTACACCACACGCGCCAGGCACTCACGTCCGCGCCGCTGCTACGTAACCACAGCGCTACACTCACAAGACCCGCCAAGCGGGCCCGCTTACTTTGGATTCAAGAGAGAGACGAACTACCCACGCCACGTGGATAAACGAACCCACTCCCGCCCTGTTGCTTTCTTTGGCTGCATGGGCTGGGGGGCGTGGTGGCGTGGTCTGCGTCAGTCAGCTTCCCCGCCGAATTTGGCTTGCGCCGCTCGCAGTCCACGCTGGCGGCCTTGTGTGGAATTCACGCTACAACTCACAAAAGACCCAAGGCCACGCGAGCGAGTAGCTCGCCCCGCCTGCCTTTTGCGTGGGTGGATGATTCATTGTGCAGAGCAACCAACCCAAAGCGGCCAGCGGCTTGAGGCCAGCCGGGGGCTTGGCTGTCGGCTTCGTGCGGTGTGTGGTCCAAATTCAAGAAGCTGCGGCGCGGCGTCTTATATTGAGTTGGCCTCTCCCTCTGCCTGCGCTCACCGCGCGCACTGGTTTGGCATGTGTGAGATAAATACGCAAGGCGGGGGCCCTGGACCGACAAGCGGCGAGCGGCCGCAGCCAGGCTTCTAATAAATCGCCTGGAGAGTCACACACGAAAGGCGACGAAAAATTAAGAGAGGCCGACCAAAGTAACTAAGAAACAAAGAGAAGCACCGGGGCAGCGGCCGCAGATCCATACTGTGCGCAAGTATCAAGCCGCCCCCGATGGATAGACTGGAGCACACCCAGGCATAAACGCCGCCCATATTGCAGAGGTTTTGCAGAAGTGAGAACACACAAGAACCCAGACGCGGCGCGCTTGTGTGAGCCCCCTGCCTGGAGCGTAGGACACCAAGGCGGAAGACAGGGGAAACGCAGGCGGGGGAGCGGTGCCACCATAAGCCGGCGGCGGCCATTTTTCCACGCTTGAACACCGAGGAGCAAAAACACCACACCAAAGACGAAGGCACGAAAATGGACCGCCACGAACAAACTCGGAAGACGCGGAGCCTTATGCGCTCCCGCTGCAAATTGTCGCGAGGTTGTTCTTGGCGGTCCATTTTCATGCCTTCACCAAAAAAACACAGAAGGCAAAAGCCCCAGAATCTTCGCGAAATGTTTGCGGAAGATTTGCAAGTCTTGACCATGTTGGAACCCCGTGCGCTTCGTTCTCTTATCTTTTCGGAAAGATTCCGCGAGGATTTTTTAAAGACTTCGCGAACTTCTCGCCAAGATTTTTTTTTTTCTAAAGTGACAAAAGAGGCAACCGCTGGAGGCGTTCAAGCGTGGAAAGATGGCCGCCGCCGGCTTATGGTGGCACCGCTCCCCCGCCTGCGTTTCCCCTGTCCTCCGCCCCGGTGTCCTACACCCCAGGGGGCTCACACAAGCACGCCACGCCTGCACCCGGGGCGGCGCCGATGCCAGCGGCATGCGAGCGGTCCACAACGAACCGGCGCCGAGGCTGCCACCAACGACGAAACACAAAACAAACGAAAAGCAGCGCCAGGCGCTTCGGCGCCTGGTTTGGCCTTTCAAGCAAAGAGACAACGAAGACCAGCCCCGGCAACTTTTCGCAAAGATTTCGCGCACGTCTTTCACATCGTCGCGGCGGTCTCCAGCGTACTCTACTAAGGGCCGCGGCAGATGGTAAGAAGTCCGACGATCAGGCGCATTATCATAAAGTAGCCCCCCAGAAGATGCCCCCGATTCATATCAGCTGCCTGTAAGTTACTCTTTTACCTTATGTGCGCGCAAGGTGCGAGCCCGTCCGCTCTTCTGGGTGGAGTTGGTCTTGGTGCTGTTCTTGACCCTGTTCTTCCTTGCGACCATCAACCGGCTCGCACTCGGTGCCTTGTTTTTATATGATTCCATTATTGGTGCTCAAGGTGATAAGGTGACGGCATTCACGCCGATGACATGATCACGATGGTGATGGCTGGCGGACTCCTGTCCCAGTGCCTGAAGAGTAGTAGTAGTAGTAGTAGTAGCAGTAGTAGTAGTAGTAGGCACCCTAGCCCTCTCGGAGAGTTGGAGCCTCGGGCTTTTAAAGTGCTAAACACCTCTAGAGTTTTCTTATTCATGTGGGTGCCTAGTAGTAGTAGTAGTAGTAGTAGTAGTAGT